CATCATCATCATCATTATTATGATCATACTTTCGAAACGTTTTTATTACTAAGCGGCACTGTGCTCTAAGTTACCTGGGACATAATTATAAAACGTGACGGTGCTGAGGTATCATAGTATCGCTCGACCGGTACCAAGTACTGTACTGTTAGGGGTTTTCACTCAAAACATACTCCGTTACTCCGTACGTATTTTTAGGCCTTTGAATACCTTTCGCGACCTTACGTGAATACGTGACACGTAAAGTTACATAAAACGTTACAACCATCTTCCAAAAACGGTAAGGAATAGAGGGGTATTTATTTGGATACATCAGAGGCGATTTTTTTTACCAGTAGAGGTTGGGAGTTGATTCTGGCGGACACGGCCTCGTTGTTCAACACATTTCTTCCCAAGAAATAGTATGTGGAACAAAGCAACTGTGCACATCCTTGCGATGATGTCTGTGGCTGAGCTGAATGGACTGATGTGCATCGAGAGCATCGAGAGCTTAAGCTAAGTAACCCTTGCTCTCGCTCTCTCTGTGGGCGTTGGTAGTTCCCTGAGGATTGATTTTCCTGAGAACGGGTTCTTGGTTGCTTCTATTTAGAAAGCCCTTTGTATAAAGGTGAAGGAGCTGAGGGAGGAAACGGTGTGAAACGTTGGCTTTCAGCTGCTGTCTATGTATGTTCCCTGTGGTCCTGGTCCTGGTCCTGTAGCATCGAATGTGTGTAATGGGTAATCATGCGATCTCTCTAGTTACTGCGTTGAAATTGTCATACAAGGTCTATGTCCAAGGCGCAGTGTGACTGGAAGACTGCATTTCACTTACTTGCCTGGTAATTGGACGACCGAGATATTTCCGTGAGCTCATTGGAGCGAAAGGGTAGTATTACATACAAGGCCGATGATTTAAGTAAATAACCACAGTCAACACGAGCTAAAATAGCAATGGAATCCATACGTAATTAACTACCGAGACCAAGGGAGTCTTATATGCTCTATGTAGTGAAAGCAATACCCACGCAGTCGCCGCCACCATGTTCTAAGAGAATACACATCTAGCTAAACCGTTTCGATATAACGTTTGACTTCCCTACAACGTAGGCTGCAGTGAGTAGTGTTTCAAAAACGAAAAAAATAATAGATGAGCCAAGAACAGAAAAGGGGAAACCAGAGATGTGTGGAAATTCAGACTCACCAATCCGTCACAGCTTCCTCCCACAGACGAATCTCATGTTCCCTCGTCCCCCCAAAATGATCCACGAACGCATCTCCAAAAACCTCCCTCGCAACACTTCCCTCCCGCAGGAAAACGGCAACCGCGTCCTTCAGGGTTTTAGCCAACCGCACTCCCTGGTCAGTTGGGCTGCCCACATCCGCCTCTCGAGGAAGTGGCGGAACAGGAAGGGCAAGTTTCTTTTCCACACCCCGCCAACCTAGAGCAAGGATAGCGGCAAGGACATAATGCGGGTTTGCGTCCGCACCTGGGACCCGCACCTCGAGACGTGTGCCATTTGGCGATGATGTGGGTGGCGTGATGACACGGATGGACGCAGCTCTGTGCTCTAAGCCCCAGGAAACGGTGACCGGGGCCCAGAAGTTTTCCACAAGGCGCTTGTAGGAATTTATGGTGGGGGCGAAAAGAGGCATGACATCTGGTAGGCCGTCGAGGACGCCGGCAAGAAAGTGCCTTCCCATGTCGGAGAGGTAGGCCACATCGGGATATGGGGGTGAGGGATCGGCTACCTCGCGGGCGAACATGTTTTGTCCGGCGTTTGACATAATGGAGACGTGCATATGTCCGCTGTTCCCTGGGAGCCCCTGCCGTGGTTTAGCCATGAATACAGGCGTGATTCCGTATTTGCTACCCAGGCATTTCACGACGTATCTGAAATTTTGGGGAGTTAGTCGTGTTCGCATACGATTTCTGAAACTAAAAGATTAAAACTGAATATTTTATCTTACTTGAATAAGCTCGCGCGATCGGCGATTTCTTTGATCTCCCCAAATTCAAGAGCCTGTTGAAGGTTAGGTAGGTATTGCAATACAATGTAGGAGTGTTCAATATAAAACGCACGGCTTCAAAAACGCCCGGACCACTTTCAGTATGCCAGCTTTCGATATTACACTTGAACTCCCGACACGTGTTGAAGATTCTATAGTAATATTCCTGGTTATGTACAGTCCTTGTAAGACTGTAGCCAAACATTCCTTCCGTCAATGGAGGGAGTGAATTCACTGGATTCTCCCTGAGAAAAGTGGCCGTTGAAGAGGAGTTTCGCTCGACAGTATTAGGATTCGGGGGCGCGCGAAATTGGTAGAATTCATATTCCGCTGTAAAAAGTCAATTATGAAGCCCGCTAGATTTTCTGCACAATCCGCAGAAAGTGAGAGGAAACATACCACCAGCCATAGCTCTATACCCAATCTTCTCCATCTTCTCAGCAGCGACTCTCAACAACCCGCGCGGACAAGCTGATATCGGCGCCTTGGTCTCAGGGTCGAAAAAATTTATCAAAAAGAAGGCTACGTTATCTTCCCACGGTATTCTCCGAAAACTGCTAAGATCAGGGATTGCTAGCATATCTCGATATCCATTTTCCTTATTGCTTACCCCCAGCTCCTTGAAATATGTCTGATCGTGCATGTCCCACCCAAATATTACGGAGCAGAAGCCGAACCCGTTTTGCGCAATGCTGAGAAACTTCCGCTTGGACACAAGCTTCCCGCGCAGGATCCCATCTGCGTCGATTCCAGCGAGCTTCACTTGCGTATCCTGCTCTAGAACGGTGGTAAGATTAAACAGAGAAACATCAGTTTCCGCCATCTCGACTTGAGGTGGGGGTACGGACAAGGCGTTGCTGGATGGGAATCCAATGTTTCTCCGAATCGCCGTTGATCCCCAAGTTGGCGCAACGCCGTAGTGACACTGCCAGAGGCCGAATATCTCCTGTGAGTCCTGTCGGCCGCGATCAAAGGTGAGGTGCAAGAGCTCAACTTAGCCGATCTGGCGACTGCCGAATCCACCCCAACGGCCGTCATGTGATTGGCTGCACCGAACATATTGTACTAGCCTGTTTTGTTTTAGCTGAGAGTCATGGGTTTGATCGATTAGATAAGAGCCGAAGCTTGATTCGTGAGGTTTTGTCGTCGACAAAGCTCTCGATGCGCAAACCCTCCCCGCCTTTGTTTGTTTCGTGGCCATTGCGCAAGTCTCTCCCACATTCCTTGAAGGGAACACGTAAAAAGCCATATTGATTGACGAAGTCCCTTTCCACTCTCGGTTCCTGGCTTGTAAGTTTGTTTTCGATAGCCGGTTGTTCGGCTATCCATACCCGGCCAACATCCAACATTGGGGGCTGGTGGCACTTGTGGACATGATTCACTTCATAGATGTTAACCTGTACTCTTTGATATTCCCAGACTACTGGCTGCGATTCTAAAACGTCTCAGTCATCATGGGACGACTCGATGGGAAAAACGCCATCATTACCGGCGCTGCGGGGTAAGGGCCTTGACCTTAGGGATCTGACGATGTAGCCCGGAGCACATACTGACAGGACAATATCTAGCGGTATTGGGCTCGAAACCTCCATTCTCTTTGCCCGTGAAGGCGCCTCCATTCTTATGGCTGACATCTCTGAGCCCGCCCTTGAAAAAGCACTTGCGAAGGTAAAACAAATGGCCCCCAACGCCGTCAAGGTCGAAACGATCAGGTGCGATGTGTCCAAGGAGGCCGACGTTAAGGCTATGGTAGAGGCGCAAGACTCCTGGGGCGGATGTGATGTCATTTTCAATAATGCAGGCATCATGCATGCTGATGATGCGGATGCCATCGATACGCCGGAGAAAATCTGGGACATGACTCAAAATATAAATGTCAAAGGAGTGTGGTACGGGTGTAAGCATGCAGTCATCAGCCTGCGCAAACACCGCAAGAAGCATGGAAGCATCATCAACACTGCCAGTGTCGTCGCATTGATGGGGAGTGCAACCCCCCAATTGGCCTACACTGCAAGCAAAGGCGCGGTGCTGGCGATGACGAGAGAGTTGGCCATCGTCCATGCTCGTGAGGGATTCCGATTCAATTCTCTTTGCCCCGCACCTTTGAAGTAATAACCACCCCTCCCGCCAATTTCGTTTCTTCATGAGTGGATAGCAGAGCCTAACTAACACATCGCTCCAGCACCCCTCTCCTGCAAGACTGGCTGGGTGATGACGTTCCCAAGCGCCAGAGACGCGAGATCCATTTCCCCACAGGCCGTTTTGGCGAAGCTGTAGAACAGGCCCAGGCCGTGCTTTTCTTAGCTAGTGACGAGAGCAGTTTTGTCAACGGCACAGACTTTGTGGTTGACGGCGGAATGACCAAGGTCCGTTACCCCACACATCCGTCCACAACACCTCACACGCACACACACATATATACTCACTCAGTCTCTCTTTCTCCCCTCCACGTATCGCGAACCCCTATTCATAATTAGGATGTTATTAATACATCTAACATAAAATATCAAATCACACGCAGGCATACGTGACCCCTGAGGGACCGCCAACGGCAGCGCCAAGAAACAATGCGAGCTAAGTTAACTTAAATATAGCGTTCAGTCCCTACTTTTAAAATTATTAGGACGTAATAAGTACGGAGTAGATAAGGTGTAATGGGTCTAGTAATATATAGAACCTCGGTGGTTGGAGTGCTTTGATATGCATCTAGTATGGAGTAAAGAGACGGGGGATTGTGCGTGGGGGAAATCTGCCTCCGCATTATCTTTGTACGTGGGGGAAAAAAAGTCCTAACAATCTCATAAGTAGACTTGAGTAAAGGAATAAGTTAATTATATGCCATTTTCCTTTTTCTCCATTGTTTTTGGGGCGAGGTGTGTAGCATTAAATATCAAGATGTCAGCTTGAAAAATAACAACTGGGAAAAAATATTGTTTATTGACTCCTGTATGAGTAACAACTATATCACTTGAGTAATTTTGTGGGGACCTTGCCCCGAAACTTTTTACATACTATATTTTATACCCCTAATGTACTCCGTGCATGTACAGTAAATACTGTATGTATATTATGTATATTCATGGTTCGGGGAGTCTTGTAGAATTGGACTTTGCCACTAGAGAAATCCCCTAATTAGCTGGGCTTTAGATAACTAGTACGGGCCATTCCAGAATACAAATATTATCTATGAGAACGGCAGAAACAAATGGATAAAATTATCCGAACGAAACGGGTTTATCCGCATAATATATTCTTATTAAAAAAAATAGAATCCGCTGTTGACTAACGTATCAGGCCACGGGTATCGGGTTAAATAATGAATGATTAAAGTCAGTAGAAAAAATGTGGGGTGTATAGTTATTAAATCAGTCAGTCCTTAGTGAAAAAAAAATAAAGGATAGCGTGGAAGAAGTAGGAAATACGGAAATTTTTGTGTTTTAAACTTGAAATATTAAATATTACCTCCTACCCATCCCATGCATTTTTGTGTATGGTTTGCCTAGTATTTGTCTTAAAAAACAAGAGGTGAATAAAGAAATTGGGAAACTAGAATTGCAGATAAATAACAAAATAACGGTTGGTGTCGAAATTAAAAGCTGATGGATGTAGACAGATAACGTGAAAAAGCGGGGACAGAAACGAAACTTAAAACTAAAAAGACCAGGGTCTGGGGTAGGGGGGATAGGGACGCTACAAACTAAACAACCCTTTGGTTGTGGGGAAGAGAAGAGCAGAGAAATAATGAAGGGTGAAGAAGGGAAGTAATTCCTCCTACCGTTTGTAAGGAGCTGTCTTAGAAAGGCGAAGTAGAGGGGCAGTTACTCAATCGCCATCTTGAGTTTGGCAATCGTGGTATTGGGGGTGATGGAGGGACTGCGGGTGGTTGTCCTCCATCATGCAAGCCGTATGAAAATTGCTCCAAATTCCTCATGACCATTCTCATGTCGAATACACTTTTCTTGCCTCACGTGCAATGCTCCCTTCGTCGCTAGCGTGAGGGTATGAAGCAGTGCCTGCGTGGCGACAATGCGGCTGTTGGCTGCTGATGGAAGGAGGGTGGAAAATGAAATCTCGACGAATGCAGTAGGGATAGCAGCACAATCGTCATTATCATCGTCATGATGCCCGCCCTCAGTACCAGCAGCAGTTGGAGTGTTCATATTTTCTTCGCCTGCTTCTCCAATTTTATTTTTGACAAAGTCAAGGAAATTCGCACTCTCCTGATCTAAAGTGGCTGCAAGCCATTGAGATTCAGCGGCCGTTTGTGTATCAACCGCAGCAGCAGGTCCGTACAATTCAAAGGAATCGTGATGATGGCTACGGATGGCGGTGATATCATCGTGTCCCACGACGGAGTTATCGAGGTCCACGTTGCTGTCTAGGTTGTCTCTCACGTCGAATTCCTCATCATCCGCGATTGAAATATTTCCCATACCTTGGCCAATTCTCCCGCGGTCGGCGAGGGGACTAGCACTAGTCATCCGTCTCATACGTCTTCCAAATGCTGTTGATGGGCCGCCCATGACGCTTCTGTCTGGGCCACCACCACTTGTGATGGATTGAGGACCACCAATGCTGGAATAACCCCCCACGCTTGGGAGAAATTGGCGAGAGTGGATGGAAGAGCCTGCCTGGGAACCTCGGATTGAAGCAGTGATATTCCATGGCATTTGGGAGGGAGCATCATCGTACATTGGCGGGGGCGCGTGGCGGCCTACTTCGATGTCCTGAAGCTGTGGATATAATTTATATTTGTGTTAGTTGATTATAGAAATTACCCAGCACCTGGCGAGAGTATCTGCGACGTCATGTCATACCTCAAATCCGATGCCATAGTTATCGTCATGTTCGATCACATGTCCACGTTCGATTTCATCCTCCCATTCTCCTCTCATACGCACATTTCTCGTTTCATCTTCTGAATCAGCGTCTTCGTCCGCATCCCGGCTTCGTTTGCGACGAGTTGTGCTGATTTTGTTTCCCGTTAGCGTCGCTAGCATCTGCTCTCCAGAGAACATATCCAGAGGGTGTTCACAATCCAAAACACCCAAGGCAATGCCGACACGGCAAGTTCTGTCGCCCATTACCCAGTACGCAGCATTTTTCTTTGCAGAGGTTATAAGTTTGTTATTCTGTTTGAGTTTTGCTGCAAGAGCCATGTTCTGCGCGTAATCCGAATTCCATCGTGCTAGATCAGAATTTCTCAATTCTGGAGGGTCATCGAATCCGAAATATTTAATAACCCTTTTTCTTAAACGATGCTGCACCTTTGGGGTTCCAGATGATCTTTCAGTTGACGGCTCGAAGCTAGGATCGGCACCAGAATCGAGCATCGAAACCGGATCGCCAGAGTCGAAGTTGCTACGGGCTGCATCCTCCATTTCCACGTCATCGTGGAGAGCCATCCGGTCTTCGAACTGTAGATGGTGAGGATGTCAGAACCCGTTAATATGCCACTTTCAAATGGAGCTCACCTGATTTTGAAAAGCTTGGAACTCTCCTTCTTCTGCCATCCGCCTAGAGTTGATGTTGGCGGAACTCTGTCCAGAAATCGCGATTACTTTTTCTTTCGGAGTTGGCTTGACTGTTAGTTCAATTATATTTCCTTCGCCGTCGAACTCAAAGTCGGGTTGCAGCAAAAAACCAGTCTCTTCCGCGAACGGTGCTGGAAGCTCAAATTGGGTTTCTTTCCTAGCACTGCTGCCGATATCACTGGGGAACCCAGAGGCACCGGCACCAAGACCGCCTATATCTGATGACGAGATGTTTAAGTGAAGCTGGCCATCTGAGAACTGGCTAGATTTGCTTGATGGGACAAGGACACTTGATAGAAGGCTGGATTTGCGAGGAGATCCGATGTCTGAGGAAATTTCCAGCGCAGAGAGATCTACATTTAGCCCTGGGAGCATTAAATCAGGTATGAAGGAAGGGTCGTCTGGAAGGACAAGCTGGTCAGGCCTGAGGGGGTCAGTTAGTAATTTGACCCTAATCAAAGGGAAAACAAGGATTGGGTTAAAATACATACCTCGCCTTTCCCGCATCGGGATCCAATGCCGTCGAACGAACCTCCTTCAGCATTAATTTCATCCTATCCCGCACTGTCTGCGCGTCCATCAACGCATATCCGCACTGCTGGTGATACACCCTTGAAACCCCATATCTAAAACCGAAGCCTCAGTCCATTTAGCAACAGGCCTAAATATCAGATTATGACGAGTTTTTTTTTTTTTTTTTTTTTTTTTTGTCTTAAGACTCACAGCAAATTCCCCTGCAGCCTCAAGGCCATCGGCGCCTCAGGATGTATAATGGTTTCGCAAGCTTTTGACACGTCAACCTCGAGAATAGCCTTGCGATTCACCTTTCTAGTTGCGGATTTCGCACCAAGTGTCGCGACCAGCCTGCCAACGTAGCGCACAGAGCAAAAACGCATCAGTAAAGAGTATTGATATCGAAGACCAAAGAGACGTGTACATAGAAATCGCATAATAGCGAAATAACAAAGAATCCACATTGGAGCTACTGGAACGAAGAACCGGGTGGAAGGAGGAAATAAAACTGCGTTAAACCTACCAAACCGTCGCGACACCATGCTCGCGGGATGTGAGGACTGCGCGTGAGGAATATATTTCATCAGCGATACGTTCCATTAATGTAGTGGCGTGATATTGCGCTGGCAAGAACCGTTTAAAATGCCCTTGTCTGGCCAAACTATTGCGGCCCCAGCGGCCATTTCAAAGAAACATGTCCCTCAAAAACAATTAATAACAATAATACTCACTCTCATGACTGTAGAACATCCTGCCGGTTCCACCCTATGCCTGCGCTTCTTATCGTGTCGCTTTGTGCACAAGGCGCTGAATTAAAAGGGCTGAATTGTCGTGATTGTCTCCTAAAACAACTCCCTATACGTTGTGGGCACTTATAGATAGCAGCTCCATAGGCAGGTGACAAATTCCCGCGCACGCGTCCTCCCCTTCCCCGCCGTTTTCCCTTGCTATGCTGAGCAACAGGGGCAGGGGGTTTGGATATAGCCCCTGAGAACTATAGGCGCGGATAGGCGTAACTAAAGATGTGCGATAATGACTGCATCCAGCATAAAAGGTTGGAGATGGAAAAAGGGTCAAGCAAGATGCGAGAGCGACGAGGTTGAGGAGGGAGACGAAGCGGAGGAAGAGGGGAAAGGGGAGACGCGTCACGGGGGCCGTTGGGCGGAGCGGAGTCACGGGGTCGCAGCTTGCGGAATGCGGATTGTATATGGAAGCAAGGGATGTATGTACGGTACATGCATGTTTACACATGCTGGGGAGTGTATATAACACTTGAGATATGCTTCGGCTGGTTCCCTCCCTATCCTGAGCTGGTGACTTACAGAGCGGCATATTTAACTAGCCTATTAGCCACACAATTAGGATCGGGTAGGGACGTAAAACAAAGCAAATACTCAGACAACCAAGTAGTCGAATCCAGGGGCTGGAATGGCCATTCCGCAGCCACATACCCTGTGGGAAGCAGAAAAGGGGGAATATAGAAAATTGAGAAAAGTCGGTATATTGTAAATATCTTCTGTCTAGATATCTGCTAGAGGATAAGCATCACAAGTTTGCCGTTGGGATCTCTATTCGGCAAAGAGGAAAACGGGACAGAAATGCTTCGCAGTATCACCCGCTGGGAGAATATTTTGGATTTAATCTATATCTCTCTCAGCAATTTCTCCACCCTTTCTGCCCGGATCCCCTCTGTTCATTTTTCGCGTCCAATCATGAACGAAAGGAAAAGGAGAGAGGCGTGGGTGACAAAAGCCGGGTGGAGACGGAAGGCCTCCCGGAAATAGAAGTCTATGCAAGTAACGACAACGACATTATTTAAAAGAGCTGACAATGACGAAGAAGAAAATCAGCTCCAAGAAATGGGAATTTCTAATGGTAACGCACAAAACAATGAAAGAGCACAAACTACTCTCAGCTGGGTAGAAGGAAGAGTATACAGTCATCCAGGAAGAAGAGTAATGAGAAGCGGAAAGAGAGGAGGGAAGAAATTGACCACATAGAGTAATCAATTATCGAAAAGGGAGAAAGGAGAAGATGAGGTCAAAATGAATAAAGTGGTTGCCACGCCTGGGATTTATGTGCAGCAAATCCATCTGCACGGGTTCATTTACACGAATAAGGACGCACACATTGAGCAAAAACGAATGATATAGAGAGATGATATAGAGAGATGATATAGAAACAAAAACCAAAAATATGATGATCGTTAGAAAAATTTGAAGTAACGTGTGCGAATATGCTGTGACACGGATAGCTTGCTTTTCAAATTCTGTTCGAAATTGAGGGATGCTGGTTCCAGTTAGCTGCACAATCAACCTTCGCCTTACTCCAACGGGATGCCTTCATATTCCGAATACCCAAGTGCGAGATTCATGTTTTCTAGTTCGCGCAGTGGGTTAGCACAGAGTTTGTCATATCACACAAACATGAAGTTCAGGCAAGAAAAAGGATAGACAAAATGTGAATAAAAACTCACGAAGACATTGAGTCGCAGCTCCCTTCAGCAGATTGTCAATCGTGGCGCAAACGACCACTCTCTTCCCTCCGGAGTGGACCGCAAAGCCTCCAACCTCAACTCCGTGACGACCGGCGATGTTCTTCACAAGGGGTGCCTCGCCAACGACCTTGACAAGTTTCTCGCCAGCGTATCTATCCTGGTAGAGATTGCGGATGTCACGCGACGACATTGTTTCCTTCAGGGGGATGTTGATGGTGTGCTAATGGAGCCGATATTAGAATATTTTAGTTAAACTACCGGAATAAACAAATGGACGTAGAGATATTGTGTGGGAAGGAAAGAAAAAGAAAAGAAAAGAAAAAAACATACATGAATACCCTGGAACCATGACGCCACATGAGGAATAAACGCAACCTCAACGCCAAGCTGCGTGCTAATCTCTCGTTCGTGGATGTGATCCGTCAAACTGTACGGGACGAGGTTATTGGTAAGGTGCTCGACATCGTTCTTGGGACTGGGCTTGGTTCCGGCTCCCGAATACCCAGACACACCAAAAACGGTCGGTCGTCCATCGAGGTGCGGGACAAGGGGTGCAATGCCTACTTGGGCTGCCGTGGCGTAGCATCCAGGGTTGGAGATTCGGAGCGCTTTAGCGATAGAAGGACGGGTAACCAGTTCGGGCAGGCCGTAGGTCCAGCTGTCGTCAAATCGGTAGTCCGCACTGAGGTCCACGATCACCGCTTTTTCCTTGTCAACTTGGTCGATGGCGTCGACGAACGGCTTGCAGACGCCGTTGGGCAGCGCCATAACCCAGCAGTCGACGTCGCCGTGGTCTGCCATGCGCCGCACGTCGTCGGCGCTGAGGTTCTCGTAGATGATTTTCCGTTTGCTGTAGCCTTGCAACTCTTGGCCGGCGAGTTCGCGAGAAGACACATGTCGGAGATCCATGAATGGGTGCTCGTTCATAAGATTGATGAGAGCCTGTCCCGTATATCCACGCGCCCCGATAAGGGCTACTTTGGACGGCTTCGAGTTCGACACATTCTTTTCGCCAAGAGGGGGGTTTGGGTTGGTGGTGGTATATGATCGAGAAGACTGGTAGTTACCAACGCCAAATTGTCGTTTTCTTTGGGCACGGAGGATGTCCGAAGCGGTAGAAGTTGAAAATGAGCGTTTCTGTTGCCCTGCTGACCCAGAGGCAGCAGTTTTGCTGGACAGAGCCTGCGCGGCTTGTTGGAACTTGGGCTCCAGAGCATTGCCGCCAAGCATGTCGCTGCCATGTTTACTGAAGTCCGCGATGAGCTCCTTGATTTCGTCACCGCTTTCAATGCCAGTCCAGAAGAGCACCTGGCCACCACGGCTCAAACTCCCTTGGGCTTTGTCAAAGAACCATGTTAGATTTTCATCATCTTCATTAACTGTCCAGACGAGGCTGGGGAAGTCTTTCTGGATACTGTCAAAGACATTGTCGGCAACCTGCTTCAGCCATCCAGCTTTGGTAATGCTGAGGGTCGTCAACTGAGCGAGCGACGATCCAGGCTTGGGAGGCAAAACTACAGCTAATGCTTCCATAGGCTCGTCCAGGTAGGCTTTGAACTCGCAATTTTTCAAAGACTGTACGTATCTATCAACGGTCGCTTTGGCATCCAATCCCTCACGATCGCGGACGAGGGCATTTTTGAGCATTTCAATATCCTCAAATTCGTCCAGGGAAGATTTGATGTGGACCTTGTTACCTCTGCGGATCAAAGTCCCCGCCCCCGTATCCGTAAACAATTCCTTTTGCAGATCAGCAGGATGGATGATAGCCACGCTGGACGTTCGAGGAAGGTCCATGAGCAACTCCTTCATCTCCTTAATCTTCAGTCTGGTGCCATGACGCACCCACCACTGCTTCATCAGATGATCATACTCCTCATCCAGGTTGATGGCGGAGATTTTCTCCCCCGTGTCACCGTTAAACAGACCCCCTTTCTCAGCAAGGTAGACAATCTTCAACGGCTGCAACGCCCTCGCAAGTTCACCCGCCGCCACGTCGGCGTTGACGTTCAGAATCTGACCCTCCGGCGTCTCCGCCATGGAAGTCAAGATGGGCAGGCAACCGGCCATAATCGCAGCCTCGATGGGGGTCTTGTTGACGCCATTGATCTTGCCGACCAGGTTATACTTTTCCTTGTCGAGGTAGTCTGCCGAGAAGACTCCCGTGGTAATCGGCCTCGCCCGCACGCCCAGAGCCTCCAGCGCCTCGACCAACTTCAGGTTCTCGTCGAGGAACAACGACCTTGCAAGCGCCAGCGTCTTTCCATCCGTAACCCTGATGCCGTCTTCGAATTGCGGCTCCACGCCGGCAGCTTCAAGCATTTTATTCAGCTGCGGGCCGGCACCGTGGACGACAATTGGGTAGAGGCCGACATGGTTGAGGAACGCGAGGGCGGAAGATAAGGTCTGCAGATGCTCGGTGAGGATAGCCCCACCCACCTTGATGACGGCGAACTGCTGCGAGGAGACAGAGGTGAAGTGGGACAGGTACTGTTGGACCTCTCTCTTGGAACCAATGTTGCTCAATAGCTGGACAACGGTTGAGCGAGTGGAGGGGTGCGGCCGAGATTGAGGAGAATAGTGTCGTCTTTCACGTCGAGAAGGAGACGAGGCAAGAGATGTACATGCCGGAGTGAATCGCCTGGTCGCTGTTGAGGACAGGAGCCGTTTGGCAGGGCGTATGAGGGGGTGTGAGAGAGCTCCCGGCGCACGGAGCCGAGCAGTGAACATCTTGCCGGCGAACATGCGGCAGCTTTCAGCTGGAAAATAATACCAGACACAGACTGCAGACGAATTGTATCCAGAGGGATTGGGATGCCTTGGTATATCAATTGGGCGGGCAGAAAATGGGATGCTGTGGTCTTATCGGCGGTTTGTTGAGGGCAAAGTTGTGTGAACCTGAGCGGGATATGTGACTGGACGTTCCGTGGTGGGCCGTGCACGGATCGTAACTACCGTGCAACACACCCAAAAAAAAAAAAATAAATAAATAAATAAATAAATAAAAATAAAAATAAAATAAAAAAAATAAAGAAAAGAAAGAAGAAAGAAAGATAGAAAGAAAGGAAACAGGTAAAAACCAAAACGGGACGTGAGCAGCGTGGCGCTCAATTCCACTCACGCAAGCAGCTGAAAATTCAGAACCGAAATGTTCAAATTTTTCAGGCTTCGATGCGGAGATTTGATTGATAAGATTGCACAATATGCGCTAGCAAGTATTGGGAATAGCGTGGTAATCGATTGTTTCCGCATTACGTATGTAATTAACATCATCTGGGGGAGGTCAACTATGCGGCGGAATTAGAAGAGAACTTGATTGAATGTGACACCCTGATGTTGGGATTTTTAAAATGAAAAAAAAAATAAATAAATAAATAAACAAAAATACCATCTTTTAGGGTCATTTCTTAAAGATTTTTTGAACGCAGACTGAGGGGGGGGAGGTGAAGTGGTGCACGGAGCAAAACTGCTTCCTAGCCTTTCATGAATGATTGGTAAATCAATTACTACTCTCATTTCAATCCTTCGCAGGGATCAACGGGAGTGGTCTCGGTATAGGTCGACCCCCTGTCTACGATGCTGTATATAGAACGCGCGGTTCATTGATCCCCGTTTCTGTTGTCTCGACTTGTTGTTCTCTAAATTCAAGCCTGACATTTAAAACCCCGGGACTCTCTATACATAGAGCTACAGTTTCGCCTCTCCGGCTTTGCAATGGCCGCTGACTCTTCTGCTGCTGATTCAGTCAGTTCATATGTATTATTCTCGATTAGGCAGATATAGAAACACGTTTCATTAGTATAGCCGCTAACGGGAAAGATTCCCACACAAGAAATGGAGCACGAAGGGAAGAGCAAACAAAAAATCACTGGTGGTAATATCATCTACAGGTGCATCGAGTTCTTGGCCACCCATTTTCGTTTCGGGATGGTTTTCCGGCGCGGGATCTAGCCCAAAAGCTCGCGCACGGATCAAGGAGAAAGGTTAAAAAATGCAAGAGGAAAACAGACAACACAAAACAGCCAAGAGCCAAAAGGAAGCGGGGAAAGAGCAATATATCAAAGCAACTTGCGCCGAGAGGAGGGACATGACAGGTTAAGAATATTAAAACAGAACAAAGAGCATCAAAAATCATCGGACACAAAATTCACCGACCCGAAGACCGGAACCCGTGAAAATCAACCATTTTCATCATCGACCGACCTGGGGGACACAGTAAAAGGGCGGGTTGATATCCATGCTTAAACGTGCTTGAACGTGCGTTCGCAAGAAAGCGACGCCTGTCCAAATCATTTTTTCAATACAACTACAAGGAACAGTCAGTTATAAGAGGTTTCTAAAATATCACGGGCGACATGACCAAGTCGACCTAAAGACGGTGCTGACGATATCCGACGCATCCATCAAACCAGCCAGCCAGCCATCGAGATGGAGGGAATACAGGAATGTCACCCACCAGAAGGCACAATAATAACGACCAGCAGTAAAATGATCCCGACGATTATGCATATGCGCATCTTGAAGTCCTTCCACCACATCTGCTTTCTCACTCTGTTCGCACCGCGACGGAAGCCCTGGGCGGAAACGGCCAAGTTATCGGTTTTGTCTTGCAAAGAATCGAGATTTTCGCCACGCTGAGAGACTTTATTGATGTTCTCACGCATTACACCGACGGTATCATCGATTTGCTAGACGGATGAAAATCGCAAAACATGAGTTAGCGATGTAGGTTTTGAAGAGTATGAGAGATAATGTTGGTTAGGTTGGGGGGAGGGGGGGAAAGAAAAAGAAAAAAAAGGCAAAAAAAAAAAAAAAGGTCTCTTCCCCCCTCCCCTCCCCAAGCAAGGCAAGAAGAAGTAGCATTCCATCGAAATATAGAAGTGGGCTACAGTGGCACAGGAACTTCTTCACCTGGGTGAAGCCGTTTTCTGCGATCGCGGATTGAAAAGATGATGACCGGAGTAGGACGGTAGGGAGAGGAAAACGGGAGAGAGGAGTGAGGATAACTCACAGCTTGAAGCGCTGCTGTTCTCTGATTTCCGCCATTTCCACTTCCGGCAACAGGCTGGTTAGATCCAGAGGGGATATAAGGATCATATGGTTGTTCTCGGTCGGCCATGGCTGAGGGGAGATGCGGAGAATGAGGAGAAGGCGATTAAGAAGGCGGTTGCGTGGCAGTTGGGTGATATGGTACCGATCTTTGTCGTTGGCCAGCAAGATAAAGCGCCGGGCGAGAGGGGTTTCCGGATAGGTCTGGCGATGTCTTGGACAGCGGGTAGCGGGTAGGATGGGTATAGTAGACGAAGTTGGGGACGGCGGGAGCAGCTAACGATGGAAGTGAAGTTGATGAATGCTGGTGGTTGGAAGTTGAATGAGCGAAGGAAGTCTGACAGCCAAGACTGGCGCGCGTTCCAGGAATGCCTGCTTATATAAGCTCCAAACCGGGAACAATGTAACTATTTTACAGGTATTCTGTATTTTATATGCGCTTCTTGCTGGGGCCCTTGTTACACAGCTGACCCCTTGAAAGTTACGTACGTACAGGGCAGAACGGAAAATACTCTACAGGTTTGGAGGGCTTCAAGTATCAATTCCTTGCTTGTTTGCTCTTGTGGTTCCACCGCAACAATGTGCAAGAAACAGACCTTGAGTCTCCTCACAGCTCATCATCGATCCAGTGTGGTGATTGATTGATGCCTACACGTACCACCACCCCTTGGCGGGGAGAAACCTTAAGATACCAACCGTTGGCATCGTTGGCCTGGATACAAGAAGGGGAGGGCTCAGCTCCTCCTTGACCCTCGAACACATCCTGTCCGTAGAACCCAGTTAAGCTCTTGCAGGTTTACATATTTCTTCTCTTTGTTTGCTCCTTATTCTTCAGTTTTATTTTATTTGATATTTTATGTTTATTTTACATCACTCTTTGTTTTACATGTTTGAAATCCGAGCATTGCATGTAAAAATAGCAACATTTCTGCCTGAACTGTGGATGAAAGGAGTTTTGGAAAATCCCTCGAAGATCGAGAGCTGCAGCGGCCCCATGGGAAATATCTTCTTTCGAATTGGTTTTTCGGTGGTTCATAGGCACCCATAGCCCAAATCCCAAATCCCCTGGCTCGGGAAGGCAGTTTATTTGGAAATCCAATAAGTGATAAAACATGGTTTGCGGGTTTCACCTTTTAACTGCTTCCCATATTTGAAAATAATCTGGAAGTTCAGGAACAGGAACAAAAGTTTCATCACCAATAAAACAAATAACCCCTCTATCCATCCCACTTTCTCTTCATCCACCAAAAAAGAAAAAAAAAAGAAAAAAGAGAAAAAAGAGAACGAACAGTGGTAATATCTCATTCTATGATGACTGCAGACATCCATGCTCAAGAACTAGTATGAGACACAAATGCTCAACAGCAGATTGCTCCCTTTCCTACAGATTGCTATCCTAATTACACCCGCCCGCCTGCAGGAGGCCGCAAAGAAAGCTTATTTGGTGGAGACCTTTCATCCCTTATTTACAAACCTTCGTCCAAGTTGTTGGACGCTTCTCTCGAAAGTAATAGACTTATCCAAGGATGCATGAGGAATAATGCGACAAAAAAAAAAAAAAAAAAAAAAAAAAAAAAACCCCGGACCCATCCCAAAAGAGGAGAACGAGTCCTCAAAGAGATATAGACATGGGTTTCTTCTACAGTAAGCCGATATAAAAATAACTAAATTTCTTCCCTGACCTTTGTCGCCAGATAGATGATAGGTTCTCCAGAATGGGCTTCGTCAGGCCTGGAGGGGTTAATAGCTAACTTTTTTTTCAGTTTTTGAAACCCCCAGTCAATGATGGTAATTGCAAAATAGCTGTCAGAGAGGCATTTGCAATGTCCTAGGAGTTGACACTATCATTAACGTTGCTGGGATGTTGTATTCGCATTTGCGATTCTCGATAGCGGATGGGGTTTATGTGCAGCTCCTGATGAATCGCAAGCACGAATTAACGAGTCAGTGGTACCACTCCCCCGCAGTTCCAGGGAGGGGAAAAAAAAAAAAAGAGAGAGAGAGATTGGCAGTTAAAGTTGAATTTCCAAGCAATTAAATTGAATCTAACTCCGTATAAATGCAGGCGTTCTATGAATCCTCCTTCATTCGTGCCGCCAAGGCTGCGTTGCTATGAGTCCGAGTTGCAGTTTAAAAGTAATAAGCCGAGCAGTAACGCGTCTTTAAGATAACCTTCGCAGTGATGGCAATTTGGGTAATACCGTTCTGAGCGGCGTCCAAAATTGCGGATCATGTTTATTCCTCAGTCTGCAGACGCAGGTTTTAAGAATCGTTGCCGTGATGTTCTATGGAAAACGTATTGCATTGGCGAGAGAGCCTGATGTCAGATTTCCTGGACTCTCAACTTTTGAGTTTAGAAACCGTACGCCGTACGGTATATACAGGATTGTGAGCAAATAAGAATAATCATTAAATCGTCAAGTCATGAGAAGGATTAAGGATCATAAGACATGGGACGCCCACTGAGTCTGGATGAATCTTCTGTCAAAGAAATGAGACGAAAAGGGCCATTAGGTGGAGAGTGTAGGTACAATATGGAGAAGAGATACGTGGACCCACAATGAATATTTATATCCAAGAAAAAGAAATAGCGCGTGCACACAAACCTCTGAAAACGCCAGCTCACGACGTCGGCTTCCGTCCGTACACAATGGAAACAGGCACATAACAATGAATTGACGGATCAGCCATAGCCTCCCGAAACTTGGCCAGCAGGACCTGCACCTCCGCCATGTCCCAGCCCATCACTCTGGTCAGCAGCGCCAACGCCCACCCATCCACCCCTTGCAAGCACTCCAGATAATAAAACCTCCCCACCTCCTTGAGCGCCTTATCCTTCGGCCACGAACCCAGGGGCATCTTCAACTTCGTCTCCGTAACGTCCACAAAACCCGCCTTCTCCATCTCCTCCCGCTGCCGTTCCATGATCGTCGTCGTCTTCCCCAGCCGCTCGCCCACTTCGCGGAACTCGTGCCTCCAGATATTCAACGCGTGCTTCTCGTCGGCCGGTATCGTGTTGTCGTCTGATTCCATCCACACGGCGCGGTTGGTGACCTGGACGTAGCCGCCCGGTTTGGTGGTCTCGTAGCACTGGGCGAGGAATTCGGACCAGTCCGGGATGCAGCCGAAGAGGTCGCGGACGTGGATGAAGTCCATTGAGTTTTCCCTGTAGGTCCAGGGATACTCGGTGCAGTCGTCAATCATGAAGGAGACATTGGGAGGGACCCAGGTAGGTTGTGTGGGGGATAAGTCGGTGCCGATAACTGTTGCTTGCGGGTGTTCTTCAGCGAAATCGATGGCCCAGATGCCTGTTTAATGGAACATGATCAGCTAATTTTATTTTATTTTATTTTATTTTATTTTATTTTTTGCTTTTTGCATTGCTTGAATCCTTGATAGGCGGAGCGGAGTGTCTGAATTTGGATTTGGGCAGCGGTGGGTAGGTAGGTAGATTTTGTTGTCATATAGGTTGAGGGAAGGACGATATGGAAAAAATCGGCTCAAAAACATACCCGTTCCGGTCCCGACATCGAGAACTTTCTATTTCACAAAATAATATAATTAGAATATCATCCGTTATTGCGCAACTCTAGAGCTAGAGTTTATGTATAATGTAATGTATATGGGCGGCCAAAAATTGCATGCAATTTGCGATTCGCGACTCTCCCCCGAAATGGCGAAAAGCAATTGATCCCCAATGGTATCGATGTCCAACTGAAACTGAACAGAGACTGGAGGAAAAATACCTGAGGATTCCTTATCGGTGCCAGATATAACTTTTTCTCCAGCAGGAGGAGGTAAGCATGATGCCCGATATCTAACGTCTCGTTCGCTTTCTCGTCGTTCGGCGCATAGTAGGCTCCGTCTTTATAGCCATGATATCGTCTCCCGTGCTCAAGTCGGAATTTATAAATACTCGATGTAACCGATGTGGTTTCGCTCGCTCTATTTTAAGGGTTTTCCGGGGTGGGCGGAGGGGTTTTGTTAGTGTTATTGTCCCATCTATGGCTGTAGAGGGAGGCATATATAAGTAGAGCATATTGTATATATGTATATGCTGTATAGTACATATACGCGGCGTATGTATCAGAGAGTTTTTGAAAGAATCTCACAGGTCGCCTCCATAGCTGGAATCGGCATCTTCCTGGTCAACTGCTAGTACAGTGTCGTGGGGGTCCCCGGTGTCCATTTTAGCAAATGCACGGCGCAGCGGAGGTATCAGGTCTGTGGAGGTGATAAACAGTTGTATTTGCGGGACTCCCTGGGACAAACAGACATCATTTAGTTAACTACGCGAATAACCACGACGAACTTTCTACGAGGGGTTTGCAATGTATTTAAACTCCCTTTTTCGGTACCTACGGCACACCATACAAGGGGCTAATTTAGTGGCCTTTCATTAACCTGCTTTTGGTCCAGCATAAGAGGGTTGAACTCCAGATTCACTGGTGCTACCACCAGGATCCCAACTTCGGTTGATTTCTTTAATTTGTCGAGGTCATTTTAGGGCTGGCTGAAGCGAAGTTAGGCCTTGCACCAACAATATATGTTTAGCCGCCCCATTCGCAGAAAAATCCACCGCAGAATGGACTCTTCATTGGTAATTTTCAGCCAATCCATCCCCCGCGTTTGATGCATGTGATATTGTACCCCGCTAGACCCTGTCACTTTAGGGGTTCGGAAGTCGCGTTCCATTCCCGCGGCGGAGCCAATTCAGCTGCTGGACCACTGGCTTGAGCCCTTCGGCCATTATTGATGGGGCCTGGTCCGCCTACTGTTCAAGCCTTGATATTACCAAAGGGTCGGCCCGCTGGTCAGCCATTGGAAAAGCGGTATGGCGTTTCTCTCCGCAATGTCCGCTTCGCATTGATTAGACGCAGGTATGATCAGTTATGTAAAATTTGGTGAGTGGTTAACTACAAGCGGCAACGGGAAGATTCGAATATGCGTGCATGGAGGTTCGAAGAATAATTATATAGCAATTCACCTGCCAAGCAGCCGAAGACAGGACGATTGCCAATCGGAAGTTTTCATTCCCTCTTTCGTTTATCATAGTTAGCTTACTACCAGCGGTGGAGGACCGTTTTCATAGGCCCACCCAGTGGAAAGTTGAGCTCGTTGGTCCTTTGGATCTTTTCCCCTTAGTTAGTTACACATAGTATTATATAAATTGCCTCATGCTTCATATGGCATTGTGCGGGGGAGGTAAATGGCCTTCGGGTCATTATCAAACAACGCGAGCGCTACGATCTCATACCGGTATTGTTGGTAGCAGGGAGCCAAAGATCGATTCTTAGCCAGTCCGCTGATAGTTATCAGATATCAATCAACACGCAAGAAGCTTGACCAATTGTTTATTCCCAAACCCCACACACCAAACGCGCTGACGGTTATAACTCCATCAGTTCACGAGAAATAGGTCGTTGTAGCAGTAGAGGGCCCCGACAGGTAACAACACGGGGATATCAAAATGGCTTAAACGGTTTTTCCCCACGTCACCTCAGCCAGGTGTCTCATACCGGCCCTTGCCGCTCCATGGCAGAAGGGTCAGTATGGGAAATGTATGTATGGACATGTGAAGAGCATATTTCGCACAATATCCTGGTAGGTCGGTTTCATGTGGTGATTGCCAATCGATCGGGAACATTGGAACAGCATCACAATATCCGTGGGTGGCTCTGCGATCTCCATCCGAGATTCATCCGATCTTCATCTTGGATCGAAAGCTTAAACGATTGGAAACACGATTTTATCGCCGCAGTTCTCTTCTCAACATTTCGCTTGGACAGCCAGCCAATTGATCATCAGATGGTTAAATTCCGGCCACTCACGCCCTCAATATGCCCTGTACTTCGTGTACTCCGTAGCCGCGGTACAAATCCAAAGAAGGGGTCTTCCATCCAGTAGTAGTTGGTTCGGTTTTGGCGCGGATTCCCGACAGCTTGAGCCTGCAACGGCACTGCCTAGGTATCTTCTCCACCAACTTGGCCACCACACATATCTACCTAGGTACAGTACAAGTACCTAGGTGTGCAGGAGAACCTGCCCGTGGTCCTTGGGCTCGCGTGATCACAAACAGCCGCCCTCGGTGGATTAGCTAAGCCCCCTTGATGACGCGCGCCTAGAACACAGCCACCGTGGCAAATACGGCACTAGATCGGATGAGGCAAAAATGTATTTATCGGCGGTAACTTACGGAAATCGCGTCCGATCAGGGGCGAAATACTGTAGATGTAAGGGCCAATACCAGTGTCTCAGCCAGATCCCGCTATCTCTGTATGTCTATCTCCATCCACCTCATCCTCGTTATTGACATCCCTCTCCCAACCGGCTTCCATCACCCCATCACCGCGATCTCCCACGCTTTCCCTCTCTTATGTTCACTCGTTTATTCATGTCCTCTTGTCGTCCGGATATTTAGATAAGCTGGTCGGTGACGTTCCATCTTGAGATCCTTCCTGCGTCATAACGTCGCTCTTTAGCATCTCCTCGATCAGCAACTTCTCCTCTCCCCCCGTTTAACCCGAAACTTTGCTCTTCCACGAATTCTAACGCCATCTACTGCGTGCCCCCTGCTATAGAATTGACGTGTCAAAGCACAAAAACAGGGCGGACGGAACTTGATCCAATTTAGATCCTCTCCATCCCCAACTCCCCTTACCGTAGATGTCCGTCTGAAATCAAGTTTCGGAGACACCAAAACATACTCTCTCCTTTGTCCCCTGGACAACTGGTACCCCTTGGTACCCCTGGCATTATCTCGTCCCGCATTCCGCTTGAATTCTTCGTTGTTTAACCATGAGATTCTTTTCGCACTTAACGTCGGCGTCCGCGAGTCAGACATGCACCAACTTCATATTATTTATATTGCTAGGGGCCCAGGCGGCTCAGGCTCAGAAAGGAATTCCGTTGGACATTAAAGATCCAAGTACGATCCAGTTATCCATTTCCCAGATTGTGTGTGCTCTTTTATTGTATATCGATTAGCATGACTAACCTTGCCTCTGAATTAGATTCGATCAAGAGTGCAGCGAAAATTGTTGCTGAGAAATTGGTTTCCTATTACACTGGCTGGAGACCAGGAGATGTGCCTGGCAACTTGCCCTCCCCATACTACTGGTGGGAGGCTGGTGCCATGTTCGGCGCGTTAGTTGATTACTGGTACTATACTGGCGATGATCAATTCAACAACATTACAACGCAGGCGATACTTTTTCAAGTGGGGAAAAATAAGGACTTCCAGCCTGCTAACCAGTCCCAGACCTCTGGGAACGACGATCAAGGGTTTTGGGGAATAACTGCTATGGGTGCCGCCGAGGATAAATTCCCGAATCCGCCCCCTGACCAACCGCAATGGCTTGCTCTGGCTCAAGCAGTTTTCAACACACAAGCAGTCCGGTGGTACAACGAGACCTGTAATGGCGGCCTGAAGTGGTCCATCAACACTTGGGGACGCGGATGGATATACAAAAATACCATTTCGAACGGATGCTTCTTCAATCTTGCTGCCCGACTAGCGCGGTACACGGGCAATGAAACATATTTTCGCTGGGCGGAATCGTCCTGGAATTGGGTGAGCGGCGTTGGCCTCGCCAGCCCAAAATTCGAATATTACGATGGCGCAAGCGATGCTGGAACCGATAACTGCACCGACAAAAATCACATACCTTGGACTTATAATGCTGGAATCTTCATGTCCGGAATCGCCAGCATGTACAACATTGTAAGTTATCATCCCCTCTGTTTCTCTCCAGTACCTACTGCGCTCCCCAATAAATATTGAACTCCCGAGTAAATATTGATGTAACTATCTCCATATAGACAACTGGTAAGGAACAAGAGGCTTGGAAACAACGTCTCGAAGGAACCATCAAGCAAACAGAGATTACGTTCTTCCCGGAAAGGAAAGGTCGAGTCATGACCGAAGTTGTTTGTGAGGATGCACCGGGCATCAAAGTGTGTGATGCAGATCAGCGGTCATTTAGAGCTTACCTTTCCCGCTGGATGGGCCTAACCGTAAAACTTGCCCCGTTCTCGAAACCCCTGATCATGCCAATGCTGCAGCGGTCTGCCGAAGCTGCCGCGAGGCAGTGCAGTGGGCCAGACAATGTTTGTGGTTTGCGCTGGTCGCACCAAGACAAGTGGGATGGTGACCAAGGCGTGGGCGAGCAAATGGCAGCGATGGAGGTGCTCCAAAATAACCTAGTTGACCTAGTTGCCGGCCCTGCAGACGCGAAAACCGGTATTAGCAAAGGTGACCCAAATGCGGGAGAGCGTGTAGGTAGCAGGCCCGTCGAATTTTCAGAAATTACAACCGGTGATAAAGTTGGGGCTGGCTTTGTGACATCGATAATCTTGTTGGCCGTTCTTGGCGGCGCTTGGTGGTTGGTTTCCTAGATGCGAAGAATTAAGTGGGTGTAGGGCAGAACGGCTGGCGTGTTGGATATCGAAAGATGAACGTAGTTCATAAGGTGACATCATTCGTTTCTAGGGGGGTGAGTGGATCAAGAGTTTCGCCCGATAAGAATGAAGGAACCCGCTCTCCCTTCTATAATGCCCATGTTTCATGCTTTCAACATTCGAATTTTCATTCCCAGCCCTGTTTATTTCACTTACCGGTGGGAACTGACTGTAAGTATGAGGATGCTTTTGTCCATTTTTCTTCCATTGCCTGACTTCACACCACCATCCCGTGTCTATTTATTTGCATATTATCATTATCTATTGGTTTTATCCTGCATCGCTTGCGGTTCTATTGCCGCCTTTTTCCCTTACGGTTCTTCGTTATTTCTTTCTTGCAATACTCTCCGTGTCTCCTGATACCTCCATTTTACGTACTGGTCCTTTTCTTCTACTTTCTTCCTTTCTCATTTCTTTTTCGTTACCCCTCTGTAACTTATCCTGGGTTGGGCAAAACATGTTATTTTGTGGTATTTTCGTCTTCTTTTCATATTAGTTATTGTTATTTGTTTGTAAAAGAATGAGAAAAGAAGAAAAAAATTTAAAAAAAAAAATTACCTATGAAGATATAGTATATTTTCTTTCCTTTTAACTAACTATGCTAAACGCTGACATCATTTCCTTTCTTCTTCATTATTTTCCACTAGCTAGCCTATCTTTACTACTGCATGAGACTTCTAACACACAAGCGCTCACCTGGTAGTATCGAATCCTCTTTCTTATCCACAATAACTAACGGCTACGGATTACGTTTACCAGGTTGAGCGTCACGAATAGTTATATCAATATGGTAGCCAGCCAAACGAGTACCTCGGCTTTGCTCTGTTTTGCTTTTTCCCCTCCTACGTTCTCGCTCCAGAAAGCTAAGCTGACAAAGCATGGTTTTATTTAACTATTTACCAGAACTGGTCTCTTACGAAGGATAGTGGTTTTTTTCGCAGAAGGCAAAAGGAGAAATTGACGCGAGATGGTCAATGCCTTCTTTCCCCCCCTTTTCTTTTATTCAAGTGTGAATTGCCCATGGTACAATTTTATGGGGGAGTTCCTCCTAGGTATTTACATCTATCGTACAGTCTTATGTCGCAACTGATGAACTCCGTGGAAGATTTCGAGGGGATGTATATATACACGATAGTGGGGAGAATAAATGTGAGAAAGGGAGTGAGATTGTACCCTTCAAGGAAAAAAAAAAAAAAAAAAAAAAAAAAAAAAAAAAAAAAAAGTCCCACAAACTCCGTAGACTCCTGCATTGTTTCCCGCGGCGCAAATCCCCACATCAAGACCGAGGTGAAAACGACGCCTCTTGCCTCGCCGGGGATTTTGGTGAGGATGGGGTGATAGGACCGAGCGTCCGGACCAAGAAAAGAAAAAGTGAAAACTCGTCGCTTCAGGGCTGGGAGATATGTAGTCGGATGTTATCAGTCAAGAGAAAAGCGGAGCGGAGCGGAGCGGAGCCCGACTACGACCCTTCCGCCAGCTCCTTTCTGATCTGCGCCTTTTGTCTCTCCGCTTCTTCCAGTTCTGCTTTTCGTCGTGTCTCGACTTCTCTGCGGTTCGTGGTTTCGGATTCCTTTATTGCATGCCAGACTATATATACATTTTGTTAAGATACGAGACGAGATTATTTGTTTGGAAATTGAAATTATGTTTGAGATGAGGGCGAAAAGGGAGAGGGGGTGTTGGAGGGTTGGGTTCGAAAGGACTGAAAGGAAAGGGCTAGTTGATGAAAAGAGAGAGGGGCAGGCAGGTAGAAGAAGAAGAAGAAGCGAAGCGCCCAGCCCCCACGTACTGGATTTATCAGACTTCGCGTGCGTCTTCAATTGCGTGACAAAGGAATCAAAGTCCTTTTGTCTCTGGTCGCGCGTTTCTAGGTTCCGTTTTTGGAGTTCCGGGTTAAATTTCTAGATGGTTTCCCCGTTTTTGCTTCGGTCAGTTTTCCCCGATATTCATTCCTCTTCGCACGAATTTGCGCGCGAACGAGGAAAGGAAAAAAAAGCTCAACTTTCCGACAGACATGCGCGGAACGTATGTGCTTTTGCTTGGTATGTGCAATTTATGATGTACTTGCGGTAGGTAAGCGTACCTGGAATAATTCCTCCTCTGTTGGTCGCACATACTGGACAAGAGCTGGCCCGCCAATGCAGAGCAGTACGCCGCTATTGTAAAGACATTTGTCAGTTAGGTAATGATAGTAGAATGGGGGGAAGCTGGGGGAAGACCTACGCCACTATCATCTTTACCGTAGTACCTATTCTGGGCATTTTTTCCTCCGTTTTTACTATTGCGATTCGAGCGGGATTCGCGAAGGAAATTTCGGGAGGGAATAAATGTTACAGCGGGGCCGCGATCCGGCCGGGCCGGCTAAGGATACGAGCGAGGTTGCAAGGGAGTATCTCCGGTTGTTCCAAATTGACGAAACCAAATTTGATGCGTCAATGAGACCGAGATTTGGTGCTGGTTGTTGCTCCGGGCGCGAGAACGAGTTTGTCGTATTGGAGGTTTTCGGATTCGGAGCTTGCAGCGGAGGTCGGGTATGTGGCGCAGTCGGCACCAACTGGATATGGATGAGCCAAGGTATGTGGCGGTGCATCGGGTCTCAAATACTAGTAGCCTTACCGTTTTAATTTTGGTAACATTTCAACGGAGTATACGGAGTACAGCGTACACCAATTCCCAGAGGATGCTGGCAGTAGGTGGACTGGGAAACAGCGATCTGGGATAAGTTACCCCCGATTTTTCTACAGTCATGAGTTCCCTGATCCCAGCGAAGACTATCAATTGCGCACTTGTGGGGCCCGAGAAAGAACCACCAGTTGGCGGATAATGCCAATCGAATTCATTCCTCAGGGATGGAGGTTCTACGGAGTACCTTAATAAAGAATTATTTGCCTTCCCAGCTGTATGGCAGACAGGGAGTGGATGGAAGCCAGGCCAATGTGTATCGCTTGGATTGAGGGATTTGAAGTCAACCTGCACAATATCGAGTCGGTTGATATCTCTTGCTGGTTGGCTGTGGAAACTACATGGAACCAACCAACCAAGCCCTTGGGGTCGTGGTATGACTCCTCATTCGCTGTCGTTCAGATGCGAAAGATGTGCTTGGGCAGCAGCAAGAAACAATGCTGCTTCGTCAACCAGCAACAAGGGCGCGATCAGCATTCATTGACCCTTCATATTAAACCTGCCCGCTGTGCGGTGAATATTTTTGAGAATTGTGAAAGGCGAACACTGAGCTATAGGACTTGTTGGCACTTCTGTTGGCGCCTCCAGCTTTCTAAAGTAGGTAGAAACAATAATAGTAAGTATCAAGTTGATCACCAACAGGATGCTTAAAAAAAAATAAAATGAGCCCGACCATGATATTGCACTCGGAATGACGACTGCGTCATTGGCCAGTTGTGGTGACATTTGCTTTGAATTCTGGAGTTTCGCCCCTTGCCATTGGTTTCACAAAGCTGGATTGGGAGGGAAATTATTAGCCTGACACATCAGTGAAACGATGTGGGAGACGCAAACAAGGAATTGGATATCCCTTTTCCGATATCAGATCTTTTCTTTGTTTGATTCTTGAGCGTTCGCAGACACGTATTGGCACCTTGGCATCTTGGATGGGCGGAGAAATTTCCTTCCAGGAACAAGATAGAGATGGAGAAAATATGGGACAGCTTTTGCAGCTTTTAAACAGGTGATTGTGTGTGGTGACACTATTTTGACCGAAGCACTCGTAATGTCATTTTGTAGAATGCAAGAATAAGAAAGGGTTTAACGAAGCGAGGGAAGATCTGTCTTACCACTATGATTCCTACCCATGTCGTTCAACACAGATTTAAGTCGCCGAGTCGGTATTGGGTAGAAAAACTTGGACGGCTGATGATGAGAAATATTCCTTGTCGACGCTATGGATGGACAAACCTGGCATCCCACATCAGCACTTGGGGACTTGGAGAAGCTTTACGCCGTAGGACCCAGACAAGAAGTCAATTTATTTCGAGGGACTGGGCCCCAGGCGGGAAGAAGACCTTGGAAACATGGGAGCTCCACCCAATTGAGCGCATGATGGAGAATTCATCCTCTGCCCCAGCTGGGTGAGGACAATTAAGAGATGCGACAGTAGATCTGACCAGCTGGGCCACGTAAATGTAATATAGTATCCAGGATACTGGCCCGCCGCCCTAGCCCGCAGAGTGTATTGCAGCATCAACGTATTTTTGGTTCGTGTGGTATCTGGTAATAAATAACTTACCACAGTCACGTTTTCTGCAAGGGGGGGGTCCACGGGTATATCGACTTCAAATCTTCAATTACTGCCTCCGCGACTAGCCATTTCGGCTTTCCGCTTCTGTCGCCTCCATCGATCCTCTCCTGCGTGGCTGCTACTGGGGATTCCTCATCTGGTGCTGCCATCATTGCATTGAGCAGAGCAGACCTTTGTCAGTACTGGTGATTGGCTGCCCTTGCATTGCGCTACGGCCAAAAACCCCCCTCGTGCTGCCAGCGGCATACAACACCCAGTTGCACAGCTTGTCATTCGTTTCTCTCTTCTGATACCTTATCAGGCGCGTTCTCTGCTGCGCGCTTCTTTTGTGCCGACACCCACCAATGTTGGCTTTGCTGGTGGGCAGCCTCCTTTCGTGATTGCATTTCACATCTTCCGATGCGCACCAGTTCTTATCTTGATAGTACACATGGCCTATAGTTAATTCTGGGTAGATCTAAGTCCCTGCCCTCGCGATTAAGGGTCATTTGTCACTCTTCAAATACGTCCTTCTGTTTCGAATTTGGTGAAACACCTTTCACACCTAAAGCATTTACCTCCCGTCACTAGCTTCATTCGTGGTACGAATTTAGCCCAGACCCGTGCATACTACTATCATCTTTTCGAAGTAATCAATCAGTGGCTAATTTTAGTCTTCCAGGTGTTGTTATTCGTTACATCCTTCAACTTCTCCCAAGTTTCCAACACCCAACGAAAGTAGAAGCTCGAAGGCTTGGAAGCTGCACAAGCTGAAGGAATAGCTCGCAATGGCATATCCGCAGAGGGGAGTCCCTCCTCACAGACAATACAACGACAGACCACCCCCACCTCAGAATTATGGATATCAGAGTCGGGGACGAGGGGGTTATGGGCCTGGGCCACGGAATCCAAACTATGACAACCGTAGACAATACCACGATGAGCGTGGGGGTTATGGAGGCGGTGGCGGACAACGAGGTCGTGGATTCCATGATCCATATCTTCCTCCGAACCGAGGGCGTGGAGGCCCGCCGCCTGATCGGCATGGATATGGTGAGCGTCGTCCTATGAACGGACCACCGCCAGGACCGCCACCAGGACAGCTGCCGCCAAATTTTGATAAATCATTCCCTCGACCTCCCCCACTCCAGAATAGACCAAGGCATCGTAAGTTGAAACGCAACGACAACTGTTCCGGGCGCTTTTTAATACTGACAAGTTTACGCAGCTAACGATGCGCCACCATTGTCCCCTACACATGCGGGAGGAACCCCATTTGATAATCCTTTTCCTGCATTTCCAAGGAGGCGGATGAGTTCAGACGAATTCGACAAGCGAATGGGTGCCTTGGATCTAAATGACTCCACTATGCGCCCTCCTGAACAAAGACCGCATACTTCAAACTCCAACCGCCCACCTCGACAAAGACCCGATGAGATGCCGCCTTGGGGCGGTGCACCTGGCGGTAAAAATATGCCACACCAAACGGACGTTGAACCTCCGATGGGACCAAAAAGGAGTGCGACGATGCCTCTGAGCCAAAATTCGGCTGGACCGCAGTACCCAGGCCAGCAGCCATGGCAGGAACCGCCTATGCCAGCTCCAGTGACGGCTGGAGATCAGAACCCCAATATCGTACCTTATTCGGAGGGCGACTCAGTGGACAATGGCAAAGATCTGCCGGATGACTTCCTTGATGCTTACCTCGGAGCCAATGGCCCACGAGAGTCGGATATGCCAAATTTCAGTGCAATGTCAGATGCTCCCGATGATAACATTGTGCCCGTTGATAAGCCGGGGGTTAACGGCTTGTCGACTTCTAATACTGGCAACGGTTACACTGCTTATCGTCCTGGAGCACCGGCTTCAAGCGACGCAAGTCATGCACCGGCAAATCAATTTGAGAACGCCGGGTTCCAGTTTGATCTTCCTCCCTCTCCAGGGGCAGCATACGACCAGCAACGGCGGGTTGATGAGTATGGCCCACCTTCGGCTGGTGCTTATTCCCATCGCCAACCAACTGGAGGTATGGCAGCCGGACCTGCATATCATGGAGATTCGGGAGGTGGGATAGGTGGATATGGTTCTCGACCGCCACCCAAGCGATACAGTCCCCCAGGTCAAGGTGCGCATATGCAGTATCCTGGTGATCAAACTGCGTACCAGAATCAACCCGGCGGCGTTTCTCTGGCAGATAACCCATCTCAAAATCCGGATATGCTTCCTCGTCATCCAGCTCCATTCCGCCTTGGTCTCGAACAAGGGGTAAAACCTCCCCCAATTCGGCAATACGATAATCCTCCCCCAATGCCACCACAAGGCCAATCCGGCCAAGGACGAGCCCCACCACCCCCTCAATCGCGTGATAGGCCGACCTCGGAACCCCTTACATTCGAGGAGCTTAATCGTATCCAACAAACGGCTAAAAATAACCCTTCGGATCACAAAGCTCAACTTTTCCTTGCTAAGAAGCTCGTTGAAGCATCTGTAGTTTTGGTGGATGACAACGGAAGGGCTGATTTAAGAACTAAAAACAAGAACCGGGAACGGTATATTTTTGATGCGCACAAAATAGCCAAGAAACTTGTGAGCGCAGGCTATCCGCCTGCAATGTTTTACCTGGCAGATTGCTATGGCGAAGGCCAACTCGGTCTAGAAGTTGATCAACGCGAAGCTTTCTCGCTGTACCAATCTGCTGCGAAGGCCGGTCATCCAGAATCAGCCTATAGATTAGCGGTTTGTTGTGAGATGGGCTATGAAGGTGGAGGAGGCACAAAGCGGGATCCAATGAAGGCTGTACAATGGTATAGGCGCGCCGCGGCATTGGGCGATACCCCTGCGATGTATAAGATGGGCATGATTCTCCTGAAGGGCCTATTAGGACAGCAGAAGAACCCTCGGGAAGGGGTGTCCTGGCTGAAACGAGCCGCTGAACGTGCGGATGAGAGTAATCCACATGCGCTCCACGAGCTGGCGTTGTTGTACGAGAACCCGAATGGAATTGACGCTATCATCCAGGACGAAGCGTATTCCCTAGAACTTTTAGAACAAGCCGCGGAGCTGGGGTACAAGTTTTCGCAATACCGCCTCGGTATTGCGTATGAGCATGGCCTGCTTGGATGTCCAGTCGATCCACGCACGAGCATCATGTGGTACTCGCAGGCGGCTGCGCAAGGCGAGCACCAGGCTGAGCTCTCACTTTCCGGTTGGTACCTTACTGGGGCCGAAGGGATTTTGCAGCAGAGCGATACGGAGGCATATTTGTGGGCACGCAAGGCCGCACTAGCTGGATTGGCAAAGGCAGAGTATGCAATGGGGTATTTCACTGAAGTTGGTATCGGAGTTACAGCCAACTTGGAAGATGCCAAGAGGTGGTACTGGAAAGCGTCATGTAAGTTCTATTTTGCTTTATTATCCTCCGGATCCCTCTTTCATCTCTCATCATATTTATACTCTTTGTCGTTTGGCTGGACGTATTTGATATATATTTCCACTCCCCGTATTCTGACGTCTCAATCTGTTTTTGCTAGCCCAAAACTTCATGAAAGCCCGCGAACGTCTGGAGGATCTGAAGCGCGGTGGTGCCAAAATGCAGAAAACCCGAGTTTCGCGGTCCGCAGTCAACAATCAGAATCAAGGTGACTGTATCGTCATGTGAAACATCCATGAACAGCCAAACTCTTTTCTGTTCTGAATTTGCACGAATGTGTCCAATGATTATTTCGTTTCTCCCGGACTCACATTCGCGGGGGTAGGGGGGGAGATACTGTATCCTCCCTGAGCCCCCACCTGAACTTCTTGATATTTTTATCTTTTTTGTCTTTATTTTCTCTCCTACCCTGTTCGTATTCTTCTTCCCCTTCGTATTTTGACAACCCCCTATCAGACCTACATAATAATGATGATATATCTTTACCTTTCCCCCTTCTACCCATTCGCATGTTCGCTTTTTCAGATTTGATTTCAAACCTTTTAAATTCACCCTTCCCCTTTCTTGTTGATCTTCTTGTAATATTCCTTTACCCATTATTGGGATCAACTTCCCACCACGTATGCTTCATGACATGATAAACTGGATATAGAATTTTTGAACTAGGGAAATTAGGGATATGGCATGCGTGTATTTCGTGGACGTACGAAATTGTGGTATAGGTAACCGGGACGCATCAAGGTTTTTTATTCACGACAGTCATATCAACATGGAAATCTTCTCCTTTTTCAGTTTCCCTTTTAGTTCTCTTCCTTTTTTATCTTTCTTCTTCCCCCTTTTCGACGGAAGGTAGCGACTTACATATCCCACCTAATTATAAACTCTAACCACGCCTCTCAACGAACTAGCGTATATATTCATCTTATGTCTGCACCTTACTTTGCCAATACCACGGCCAGCCATGATGTGGCGCGAATGCGGAATTGCAGCGTAGGCTCGTAGTATGCCGAGACGGGGATTAAACATAGTTGTTGAATAGTTACAGCAAGGCAAGGGAAAGATTCATAATCACAGCGGGTCCCAACATCCCTTCAGAACATAACTGCACATATAAATGAGAGACTCTTCTATGCTCGCATCTGACCGTGGTCACCAGAGAGCCGACCCTCATTTGTGTAACATCAACTTCTGGAGCAAGGGCTGGAAGATCAATAAATACAGCACAAATTATAGGCGTGGGGTATATGATTTCAACATTGCCTATTCCTAATGCCCAACCTCCCGCTCCAACAAGCCGTGACTATAATCATAGCAAAAGTCAGAGCAGCAGCACCACCACCACCACCACCACCACCACCACTGTCCTCCACCAACGCAGCATCAATAACCTAACACTCTTCCTCCTTCCTCTTTTCCTAGGAATCTTGATATCGTACATCGCCCTGCCATCCTCGACTCTCATCATTCTGACAGCAACTGTGCGGACAACGTTACTGAATCCTGCGGCACCCTTTGATATCACGCTTCTGCACACGAGGGGCTATTCTGTTGAAGGAGGGGGAAGAAGATCGTAGCGAGCACGAGCACGGGAGTGAGCGCTGAGGTCGCAATGGCGCCATCGGCCAGGACGCCAGTTTATTTTCTAAGTCATGGAGGGGTGGGTTTGTTTTACTTTTTTATTTTTACATCTATACATATACATCTATATCTTTTTTTTTTTTTTTTTTTTTTTTTTTTTTTTTTTTAAAACCTTTTGCTGTATGGAATCGGCCTGTCCTTAGCTTGAAAGGCGTGTAGCGCGGGATCGTGGTGTTTTGAACGGTGCATAATGAGTTGCTTGTCATTAGCATTGTTGAGTTTTCGGTGGATCATATATATGGAACTATATAAGTGACCTATCCATAACTAATGTTGGCTTTAACAGCCAGATATTATGTATGACCAGAACCATCCCGCCTATCGCAAGCTGCAGGAAATTGGGCGCGAAATCACCACCAAGGTGAAGCCTCGTGCCGTGGTTGTTTTCTCCGCCCATTGGCAAGCGTCGCGAGATACTGTTGAAGTGAACAATGCTGAGATCACGGAGCTGATATATGAGTACGATTTTTTTCATTCTCCTGTTTCCCTTTCGCCGACCTCTTTCCTGCAGCCTGAGAGTTGCTCTATGCCTGATTCGTTGGGCAAAACATTTCACTCTCTTAATGGCGAGGGAAAAAGGAGGTGGTTGCGAAAGGAGAAATGCATCTCTGCTTGTCCTGAGCTAAGGCGGAAAATTATACATAGCTTCTACGGATTCCCTAGCCATTATTATGAGGAGAAGTTTCCGAATGTTGGGAGTAGGCAGGTTGCGCAGAAGGTAATCGACGCTATTAGGGGAGCGGGGATGAAAGCGGAGGGGGTGAAGAGAGGGCTTGATCATGGTGTTTGGGCTAGTTTTAAGTGTGGTAGGTCTTCAATGTTTAACTCCTTTCTCTCGCCTTCTAGCGGCCTTCCTTTGTGAAGACCTTAGCGGATGATGAGTGAACTGTTTATTGTCACCTATTAGCATTCGACCCGGACCACAACCCCCTGAACGTGCCCATCGTCCAAGTCTCCCTCTTCAAAACCGAAGACCCGATCCAGCACTACCGCCTGGGCCAAGCCATCGCCAAACTCCGCGAGGAGAACATCCAGATCATCGTTTCTGGAATGGCAGTCCACAACCTGCGGGACCTCCGGTTTACGTTTGGGGACTCGACGCCAATGCCGTACACGGCCAGTTTTGACGAAGCGCTGAGGGACGCTGTCACGACGCCACCAGCCCAGAGGGAGAAGGCATTGGCTGATCTGCTGAAGCGCGGGGATGCACGGCAGGCTCGTCCCACGTTTGACCATTTGCTGCCTATCCATGTGGGTGCAGGAGCTGCAGGGGACGATGTGGGGAAGCGGCTGTGGACTTTGAAGGAAGGGAGCATGAGTTGGGCGCAGTTTAGGTTTGGGGAGATTGGCGCGGAGTGAGATGAGTTTGAAATTGCGGGACAATGTATTCTGTTTCTGGTTTTGGTTCTTCACCTAATTGCTTATGTTTGTGGAGTAGGAGATGGGGAGTAACCCTTTTCCGGCAACTCCCAGTCACTCCCAGCTGGTTTCGTGTTCTCAGAGAGAGAAGTATAGTATGCCTTTTGAACGTTGGATACTAGAAATATAATATCTTTCTTGAATGTAGAAGAAGCCATTTTTCTATTTGGTCGTGTGTGTAGATATATATGTACAGAAAATGCGCCCAGGGAAAGGTGATTTATAGTAGGTGGGCTATATTGTTGAGCCCTTCACCAAAGCTGTAACCTTTTCTTCAATTTCCTTATCCGTTAAGCCTGTTTTTTTGTCCCCAAGGTTAGTGTCCGTCCCATTCGAATTGTGGTGGTGAAGTTATCCATACCTATGAGAGGCTCTTGTTTCTCCCTTCCCATTTCTGCGAACAACCACAACAGTTAGTTAACGTATACCGCTTACGGAACGAAACAAATCACTACCCTTAACCCAAAAAAACTCCATATAGACATACCATATCTCGCAAACACTCTTGGTTCGGTATCCAATGCCTCCCGCATCATGATGGGTATGAATGGGTTGTTCTTCTTCATCGTTGGGTATGCTCGCTTTAGGAACGCCCTGTATTCACGCATCCAATCCAAAAACCAATCAGCGGCCAATTCAAAATCTTTAGGAGGGAAAACTAATAGCAATATAGTCGACAAACAGGAGAGGGTAAGCTATACCTCGTCGCATCGCTATGGGGAGAGGAGTTGCAGAAGAGAAACCGCAGCTCCTTCAAGCTCTTGTTGAAGGCGTATCTGGAAGACATCACGGGCCAGTCGACTCGACGGAGTATCTGCAGGAGGAAGAATACTTCCCACACGTCGTTTTGTAGGTTAACGTCGGGATTTAGAGCTCAATTAAGCCGTCGCTGGACAGGTTTCAAGGGCGAAGTGAGTTCTGGATTGTTGATGGTCAAATATGATTTGCTCATAGCACAGCTATTACCTACAATCACGTGATATAGACCGATTTTCAAAGGACAATCAAGGTCCAGACTATGACTGAAGCATTAACTGCAGGAATAAGACCAGCTCAGCATTGGAACAGAGACCAGGCTGTGGGTTGAGAGGGATCTATTTTCCTGGGGACATATTTATTATCTCATTGTATTCCTGCCCTTTTATCTCCTCTCTTTTTTCATTAGACCTATATCGTGTCTGGCTCTAGTAGCTGTTTCCGCTCCCTCCCTTTTCCGCCATACATTCACGTTATACGTACACACACACCCGCACATATATCTCCGCTCGGCATGTCGTCCTCAAGAGTTGGTTTCCAATTCTTCCAGACCTACAGAGCTGCTTTCCAAAACCTATCGACCCCTCTCCGCAGACAAGGGTTGAGATCCCGGCGATTCCAAAGCACTGAGGCAGGCTCGTCCACCGCTCCCCAACAGAGTTTCTTGCAGCGATCATGGAACAGTCCCGTCGGCCTGAAGACGGTGCATTTCTGGTATGTTATCCAAACTAGGGTTCCATGATGGATGAATTGCCGCTAAATTTGGTACATCGATGCTGCAGGGCCCCGATCATGAAGGTATGATATCATTTTCGCTGAAATCTGTCCTATTTTGTCGCAAAATGTGTACTGCCCGCTTGAGCTGGACCAAGATATACCTATGCGGCATCCGTTATGTGACATCACCGCAGGTTCGAAGAGTCAGCATGCTGATTTATGTTTGCAGTGGGTCCTCGTCTTGGCCGGTCTTTCTGATCTCGCCCGTCCCGCCGACAAGCTCTCCCTGACTCAAAACGCCGCTTTGATGGCCACCGGCGCAATCTGGACCAGATGGTGTCTCATCATTAAGCCGAGAAATGTCCTGTACGTCCTGCTATATTCGTCGATTGATACATATATATAGATATTTCAGTCCTTGCCTTTTTTTGCTGCGCGATTTCGTACCTCGCTCGCTCGTTCGACACGCTTTATATATAATAAAATCGAGTTGCTGATTTCCCAACTTTTCATATAGTCTGGCCGCGGTCAACTTCTTTGTTGGATGCGTGGGATTCACGCAAGTGACTCGCATTTTCCTACATAGACGAACTGTCGACGGGTCCACCAAGGATGCGCTGAAGGATATGACCCACGAAGCAACAGGCCCGGCCAGGGCTGCTGTGATCAAAGCTGAGGGAAAGGTGGAAGAATTGATTAAGAAACATTAAACGCTAGGGATCCATATAATATGATGATAGAGTATGGAGGGGAGAGGGGAAAGGGTTGGTTTGAAAATGAATCCACGATACGGATTGATTCTTTGGACTTAAAAAAAGGGCCGGCGGCTGTAAGGAGCTCAGACAGGGGACGCTTCTGGAATGGAGGAAGAGCAGTGTATTTTTCTTGGGTTTCTTTGGTCTTGCTCAAGACTCCATGGGGCGAGATGTGACTATAAACTCAATTCATTTTTAATAACATGGGAGTGGAAACGAGAACTTGCTTCAAACCTGAACCTTCCCCGACTTTTCAGCTTCCCTGGCCATACACAAGCGGTCACCTTTGAATCCCGCTGGGTTGTATGAGAGATGATCAGACCTTGTAGCTCCGGCGCTGCAATTTGTAGGGTCATTTTACCTCTCAGAGCCTTATCCTTAACTAATCTTAACCAATTCGTTGTTTATCAGTTGAACTGCGGTTAAAGAATGGTTGAACATGGTTTTGGGGAAATGGACAGCCCCTTCTAAAATACTACACCCATCCCCCAAAATCAGTCTCCTCTTTTCTAATTCTCACATTCAGTTCATCCTGAACCCCCTGACCGATGAGTAAGATTTAAATCTGTCAATCGATTACAAACTGGTAGTGAGTGTGGAAAAGCTTAGTGTTTAGATACAGCGTCTCATGCACGAGATACAATACCAGAATTGACTGCTCAAGTTGTTTATCGCCTATATACCTCTGCGCAGGCCAGAAACCACGGAGATTACCACTCCTGATGAGTGCTCACTTTTTGCCCTATTTCCCATTTCCTTGCCCTGGCATTGGCTGATGATGCATTCGATGGAAAAGGAATCAACCCTGGGCAATGTGTGTCCCATCTGGGCTAAACAACGCTGGTAACAGCATTCATCTGAAATGGAAAACCTCACATCCTCAATATCCCCATATTCCATCAAGCCATACATGGTGCAGAGGGGATTCAGATATCTCCTGATAAGGCTCTGCACTACGACACATTCAACCACCACATTCAACCACTTATCTTCAACTCCTGAGACATATTGCAGAATTCAAGCAACAAGATGACACTATTGTATCACGTAGGGATCACGAACACATTTGATAGTGAATATCATTATCAACATCTGCATGCTTTCTTCAAGAGTGTTCTGGCGTTTCCATGCCCAGCTCTTGCAATCATCATTGAGCGCCAATCAGGTCATGAGCCCTTCCTTGTGAAACAAGTATTTTCAAACACTGTTATATCCCAGTGAAATTCAAGGAGGATGTGCAGTCCACTAAAACTGTCCATAACATAGGCTGTTGGATAGTTTAGACTCACCTGTGATCCTCTCACTTTAGAAGTTGAGCGAAGTGCACAAGAGTTCAATTGAGTGGGATGCACAACGGATCAAACTAGGCAATCAATAATGTTCATTGCAGAAAAAAAAGATGAAGAGAAAATACAGTTCCATTGTGAAAATGAGAGGCAGTGAGATGCATCACCAGTACAATGAACTTGGTGAGGGGATCCAAGACCAAAAAGACCGTTCCTTCATCACAAAGTATTTGACTTGAATCAAGTTATTTTAAATGTTGGCGAAGCCTCAACGGCACATTGGAAAGGATGTTTTTGCCCTGGTTTCTGCGGAACCTGTCATATCATGGAGACCAAATCCCAAGTCTGACGATATCATATCATCTAAGTTCTTCTAGTGTTTGTCAAGAGAGGAACGTGGAACAATCGCTATTCCTATGTCACCGCTCGTGTCACCGAAGGGGGGGTAGCTAATTTTTGGGTAGGAGAGCAGATGTATGTTTCGATGCCAGCCTCATTGCTTCGGCTTCAGCGGGTGTTACAGATCGGCAAGCCTTGGAGACGTGGGAATAGTCGTGCAAAAGAAGGGCTCTTCCCATCTGCATGGCCAGCACTGTGATTACTTTGCCGTCAGTAGGCAGATATTCGGGATCCACGGGGCAATTCAGTGGCAGGGGGTGTTCGGGTAGCATTTCATTTCATATATTTATAAAGGGAGCTCTTTGGCTAGGATCTTGTCATTTGTGAACCGGGCCCCGACATCGCGATGATAAACCTAATGGAGATTTTCAACTGAAATCATGATGAGATGAAGGATTTCGTATTTCAACGCACGTTGAAAGTTTCTTCGGCAGGAATACTGTCCAGCTCCAGTTGGTCGTTGGTGATAACAATCTCTACATCTCATATGCTGCAGAGTTTGAGCCCTGCATCAGGACTGTTGCTTTGTTGCTGAGGGAGCATGTATGCAGCTCTTTGAGGTTAACCCTAACACTGGATGAGGAGGGCAACCACAATTTATTATGATGACATTAGTACATATACATACAATATACAATGAGCAACTGGCTGGAAGGCTGTTATATGTTATAGTCTCTGACCGCATATGGCCTTAGGAAAAATATGATAACAGACGGTTTTATCCTTTAATGACAACCACGTTGTCAGAGCCGTGGATAGAATCGGCGTTGTGCCGGCAGGAAACATTGGCTATGACATCACTAACTATATCAGGGTGGCGAGAAGGCTGTGAGCTTTCAGTGGAGCGATGGATCTAGACTTCATTTCTATGATGTATGTGCGGTACAAGTACAAATTGCACCGTAACCATAACTAACCCTACGGTACAGATTACAGGCTGGCCATGCTCCATAAGATTGAGAAGTATTCTTCTCCACGATGAATATAAAACGCCGAGTCCTCAGCGCTTTACGACATGTGAATATAGTAATACAAAGTGATTCATATGTTCATTGACGGGACCAAGATTATGATGAAAAATGTAAAATAGTTATTCCCTTCAGCAAGATTACCGGTACCTTATTTTAAAGGAGCGTTCAAAATTTTCAAACGGAGGGACATTCATGATATCACCATCTCGAAGACATGTTGCAGGTGATCCGTGGATACACACAACTTTCCCCCAGGTCTGTCGAAAGGCTAACCTGGGTATATGGGGGAAAAGAGATCAATTTCTGGAGTGTCAAGTTATAAAATCATGGCACACTCGGCTTGGGGATGGTACGGGAGTTAACTGCGAAAACCCCACAACCCCCTTTTCCTGTCGGTTATTGGTTCATTGACAATCAAAAAAGAGGGAAAAAAAGTCTCCCTAACCCAGCGTTACTTAATATATATAGATTACCCTGTTCTTCCAATTCTGCAGGTTTTGGTGTTTGTACCTCCTGCCCCTGACGTAAGTAGATATCCAGGCTTTATGTCATGCCTCTACTCCACACCCACGCAAACGAAAACGCCATTGACGACAATGACTGCAAGACTCGGGATTAGAAAGTATACGACATCCGCAGGGTTACCGAAACGCCATTTGTATAACGGATTGCTTGCTCCCTCTTGTTCCTCCCTCCGCCTAACCCCACACCAGAAGCAGACAGCTACACAGCCATCTCTATCCCCGTTCCCCCTTTTCCGGCATCCAGCTTTCACAACCACACGCCACGCCAGTATGAAGGCTCTCGTCTATAAAAGCGAAGGAGTAGTAAAACATCGAAGAGCGCCCGCAGCCAAGCATCCAGTCCGCGACGGATGCAATCGTCAAACTCAAGTACACCACTATCTGCGGCACGGATCTGCACATTATCAAGGGCCACGTGCAGTCCGCCACGCCAGGCCGTGTGCTAGGCCATGAAGGCGTCGGCGTGATCCACGAAGTCGGCTCGAGCGTCCAGGGCCTCGTGCCGGGCGACACCGTGCTCATCTCGTGCATTTCGGCCTGCAGCGTTTGTGGCTTTTGCCGGAAGGGGATGCCCTCGCATTGCGTCTCGGGCGGGTGGGTGCTGGGCAACCATATCGACGGCACGCAGGCGGAGTTCGTGCGCATCCCGCATGCGTCATCATCGCTGTACAAGCTGCCCGCCACGGTCGACTTGACGGCCGCGGTCATGCTGTCCGATGCGCTCCCGACGGGATTGGAGTGTGGGACGCTGGATGGGAAAGTTTCGCCAGGCAGCACGGTGGTGATCATCGGAGCCGGCGCGGTGGGGATGTCTGTCATGATGACATCACTGCTGTATTCGCCGTCGTTGCTTGTGATAGTGGATTTGGATGATGGGAGGCTGTCGATGGCGAAGCAACTAGGGGCGCATGCGACGGTTAATAGTCGGAACTCCGAGGAGGCGATGGACAAGCTGTTGAAGATGACGAATGGAGAGGGGTTTGATTGTGTTGTTGAGGCGGTGGGTACTCCTCACACCTTTCAGTTTTGCCAGAGTCTTGTTGCCCCTGGCGGTTCTATTGCCAATGTGGGCGTGCATGGGACGAAGGTGGAGTTGTATATGGACAAGTTGTGGAATCGGAACATCTGTGAGTATACACCCCGCCCATTACCCATCACTTGAGGTCCCCATGTGGGCGATTGCTCAGCCATGTTATTCTGCCTCGAGTAGGTATCTCCACACGACTCGTGGACGCGGTCACCACTCCAATGCTGTTGAAGCTTTTCACAGCGGGCAAATTGGATACCGCCAAGCTCATAACGCACCGTAAGTGGGCCCTGACCTCACAATTTTCCTGCTTAATTTGCGCTTCATCGTGCCCTGTCTGTAAGAGAGAGGCTTTCACACTGATGTATAAGCTGCTTCACATAGGCTTCAAATTTAAGGATTGTACGCAGGCATATAAGACATTCGGTGCTGCGGCAGAGCATAATGCTCTGAGGGTTTTGCTGAGCATGTGAGGGAGACAAAAAAATCTCCCCCATTCTCCCTGGCCCATCTTCTATGCTTGAGACTGAAAGTTTGTTCAGCTGAAGACAATAGCGTATGTGTATTGGTACCAACGAAGGTATGGATGACAGGGTGTGACAGGATGCAACAGGCTGAGTTTGTTGTTTATTGTATTGTTTTGAATCATTGTAACAATTCATTCATTCACTTCTGTTTGTATGTATAGGTTTTAGTCAAATGGAGGTCCAGTAAAGAGAAAGAAGACTATAAATTCATAAGAAATAAAATGTCCTCCACCGGGCGCTGGGAGTTTATATACCCAAAAGATTTGGTGCCAGTTAAAGGGCTGTAGCCTAACGCTTGGCTGTCAGGTTATGCGCCAACGCTCGGAAGTTTTGGCGCTCCGGTATCTCAATACGGGGATTGGGACTACGCTTCCCTGGCCGTGTACTCCGGACTGCATGGTCAAGTTTCTTGACGTCAACTTCAGCCATCTCGCTGAAAATGAAATTCAGTTTGCCGATGCGATCTCAGGAGAGCCAACGTAGTGAACGCGCCTGACCTCACAGCGGTTCCCTAGAATCAGCGTCAAAAATGGAATCCTCAGCATCTGCAAGCTCCCCGGGTGCTAGCTAGCTTTCAATATTATGAGCATGGCGAGATTGATATCAGCGAGCTGTAGTAACTCCCCATCCGCCAAATTATAAAAACATGGGGATAAGCTCACAGCTTGAATGACCTATGCTATGATAATCCGCCTGGTTGGGGCTGACTACCCAATGACGATTTCCGGAATTTCTTCGAAATCGTGAAGTGATTATGGCGATCATACCAGAATCAAGTTGGGGCCCTTAGCCAGGAACAGAGTATCGGATCAGAATATGGTTCAGAATCCCTGATAGTCAAAATCCAGTGAAGAAAATGAGCTAGAAATTCCACCTAGAATGGTGCTCTCTGAATTTGTTGATGTGGCGAACTATTTAAGAGGAAAAAAGACTAGAATGCCAGCACGCTATATCAAATTAAAGTGTGAGTGAAAAATGACATTACTACTCTCTACAGATTAAACGTAAGATAAATAACAGAGATCCGTAAGGTTAGTCCCAGACAATGATGGAGGCCCCTCATACACTCTAAAAAGCGATTCTTCCCGTTGCTTGATTTGAGGCAGGCTTCAGAATACCACATCCAAACAATTCCTTACCATGCATGAGCTAGCACTGATGTTCATCAAGTGGAAACAGAACAGCATGCGGGTGGAATCCACTATTATTCCAGACAGCGGGAAGAGTACGGAGTACAGTCCCAAGAAGACATGTATTTTCTCGGGGAAGTTCCTGGGCCAAGCACTTGCAGCAGATAGCGCCGAGGGTTCGCAGCAAGAGGAAGACCAAGAGGCATGTTTCCTTCACAGTCTATGGGGGAGAGTTGCGCCCTGTTGCTGCAGCGTATTTCATCCAGAGAGTAGTACTTCTGGGGCCTCCTAGGGTACATTCAATTTTCGAGTTTTGCCGGTGGACCAACGTCTCTACATCTGGCATCTGACGCTCGACGGTATTGTGAATTGAATGAAGGTCCCAGTAGATAGAGTCGGGGCCATGAAGTTTGTTCACGGACTTCATCACTCTAAATATCACAAGCGGGTCTGCTGTTGTCAGTTATGGAACGAATGCGTGTGGCAGTGCGCATGCCTTGAGGAAATTTTGCAAGGGAGAACATTTTTCATTTCACTCTTCTCGCTCCTCTCTGGTGTTTGTTTGTCTCCCTGTCTTCCATTTCTTTTATGGTCATCCACCATCATCGCTCCTTTTCTTTTTTATTGCTTTATACGGATGTTACACGGTCGCTATAATTACCTAATCATGTTCCGGGTGATGCCGGAGCAACCCCGCTGATGGTGGATTCCATCCAAAGTACGGAGTAAGTTCGGCCGAGAACGGCTGGCAGTCGGGTTGGCGATCTGATGTCTGATGCCGTCAATCACAGTTTCAGACCGGGCCCCAGAGCTAGCTCGGTATCGCCACATACTTTCTGCCCCGCGAGAAACATCAGTCTTTCTCTCGACCGAATCATAGGGGGCCCAGCTGGGTTTGTGTCGATATTAGTTTGATCCTTTCCTATTCGACCTGTCGATGTATGTACATACAGTACAACAAGGTGGCCTGGTCTCTTTCCCGGTTCTCCTGTCTGTGGGGTATTTTTTATTTTTTATTTTTTATTTTTTTTTTTTCGCCTCTTTGCGGCGCGACGTATCCCGAAGTAAATAAATACCAGATCTTCGGCCCAGGTCGGGCGATGATGGCTTTATGATTTTACTACCTTTTTTTTTTTTTTGTGTGTTTTTATATTATTATTATTATTATTATTATTATTATTATTTTTAAATAAAAAAATAAACCATCACGGTAGTCAGCAGTCATAACATAATAGCCTAGAATTATAATAGCTGTTTGTTGTTACGTTCTGCAGGCTTGCGAAAATAATATTTATGTCTTGCTAAGGACGAGAGGGGAACCGAAAATACAGCGAGAATAACTCTCTGTCCCTCCTGATAAGACTCGCCGGCTAACCAAGAGACATACATACATTCAATTAAAAACTTCGCGATGGCAGCTGTCGACACCCTCCTCAAGGACGTGGCCATCCTCGGCCCTCTGAACGACCAGACCCGCAAGATCCTCACCAAGGAAGCCACCGCGTTTCTCGCCCTGCTGCAACGCACTTTCAATCCAACCAGAAAAGCTCTCCTCCAGCGACGCATTGACCGTCAAGCAGAGCTCGACCGGGGCACTCTCTTAGACTTCCTCCCAGAGACCAAGCATATCCGTGATAATGATGCGTGGAAGGGAGCCCCGCCCGCGCCGGGCCTGGTTGACCGCCGGGTGGAAATCACCGGCCCAACGGACAGGAAAATGGTGGTTAATGCGTTGAATTCGGATGTGTATACTTACATGGCTGATTTTGAGGGTGGGTTGTCCTCCTTCTCTTCCTTTCGTATATTCTTCTAGTTTATGGAGTGGGGAAGGATGGGCTTTTGAATCTGATATTTTGGCTGAAATGTGATGGTTACAATCGACTGTCTCTGATGTTGAAGGGGACGCACACGAGGAGGGGGGCGGAAATGGAAGTTTGAGACCGGGCTAATACAATGTTTCTCATTTTCCAGACTCAAGTGCTCCCACTTGGGAGAACATGGTCAATGGCCAGGTTAACCTGTACGATGCCATCCGCAGACAGGTTGATTTCAAGCAAGGCGGGAAGGAATACAAGCTGCGCACCGACAGGAAGCTCCCCACCCTCATTGCCCGCGCGAGAGGCTGGCACCTTGAGGAGAAGCATATGACCGTCGATGGCGATCCCATGTCCGCTAGTCTTTTCGATTTCGGCCTCTATTTCTTCCACAATGCAAAGGAGTTGGTCAGCCGAGGTGCTGGGCCTTACTTCTATCTCCCCAAGATGGAATCCCACCTCGAGGCTCGTTTGTGGAATGATGTTTTCAATCTTGCTCAGGATTACATTGGCATGCCTCGCGGGACTATCCGCGCTACCGTTTTGATTGAGACTATCTCTGCTGCCTTTGAGATGGATGAGGTGAGTGTTGTGATGGCTTGTTATGGCTTGCAATCGGTTTTCAATCGTCTAATACGGCCCTTCTGCACGAACTCTGTCGCTAACATCGACTCTCAAAAACCGAACAGATCATCTACGAGCTCAGAGACCACAGCTCTGGCTTGAACTGCGGTCGATGGGATTACATCTTCTCCTTTATCAAGAAGTTCAGACAGAACCCCAATTTCGTCCTCCCAGACCGCTCAGCTGTCACCATGACTGTTCCATTCATGGATGCCTACGTCAAGCTCCTCATCAAGACCTGCCACCGGAGAGGCGTTCACGCTATGGTAAGTAATTTCTGAAACCCCTTCCTCCACATCACAAGCCGCTGGTTCGCTTCTCTCGTTTTATGCAGTCAATAGAACCTCTCCTAACGGTTAAATAAAACAGGGTGGTATGGCCGCTCAAATCCCCATCAAAGACAACCCCAAGGCCAACGACGCGGCCATGGCCAGCGTGCGGGCCGACAAGCTCCGTGAGGTGCGTGCGGGCCACGACGGAACCTGGGTCGCCCATCCCGCATTGGCCAAGATTGCCACAGACGTCTTCGACCAATACATGCCCACCCCGAACCAGCTGTTCGTCCGCAGGGAGGATGTGCACATCACCGCCAACGACCTCTTGAATACCAACGTCCCCGGCAGCATCACTGAAGATGGCATCCGGAAGAACTTGAACATCGGATTGTCCTACATGGAGGGCTGGCTCCGTGGAATCGGATGTATCCCCATCAACTATCTCATGGTTTGTCTCTTACCAGCTCTCACCAGCTTCACCATACCATATAACATGTAAAAAGATTAAAAAGAACAAAATGTTGGAAGAAAAGGTGGGAAGGACACTTTCACTGATTATACCTGGTTCAAAAAATAACAGGAAGATGCCGCCACTGCCGAAGTAAGCCGCAGCCAGCTCTGGCAATGGGCCAGACACAACGTCACCACTGCGGAGGGCAAGCGAGTCGACAAGAGCTATGCACTCAAGCTGCTGCAAGAGCAGGCCGACGAGCTCGCAAACAAGGGCCCCAAGGGCAACAAGTTTCAACTTGCCGCTCGCTATTTTGCCGGTCAAGTTTCTGGCGAGGATTATGCTGATTTCTTGACATCGTACGTTCCCCTTGCCTCTTGACCCTCTACACCGCTCCCAATTTTTACTTCCCTTTTCTTCCTTTTTTTTTTTTTTTTTTTTTTTTTTTTTTGCTACAGGATATTTCCCTTCTTCGCACCTCAAGTCTCGAGATGCGATTTTATTTTATCTTGTTTTGATTTGATTTTATAAATATATATTTTTTGCCTTGGTTGCTTTTGACACATTCCCCCTTCTAACTCTTATTTATAGGCTACTCTACAACGAAATCTCCGCCCCCGGCAGCGCTGCCAAGTTGTAAAAAAAGTTTTTGGGCATCCCTCGCGCCGGACGCATTGATAGGAGGAAACGTAGAATAAATTCGGTCCGGTCCATTCATTGAGAAACACATGGAAAGGGGAAGTTGGGAGGAGGGGGGGGGGGGGGGGGTTATATTCCTTCCAAGAACCGAACTAACCGACCACTTGAAGAATGAAAAGGAAAAAGGGAACCAATGTTCTTTGCATATATATATATATATATATATTCCCAAGCAACTCGTCTTCTGCATTGCTATTCTCTTCAATTTCATTTTTATTATTATTGTATTTCCTTATTTGTTATTTATTTATTTATTTTGTTTCTTTTCCTCCCATGTTGTGAGGAGTGTACTGTACTTGTACCTAAACCGAACAAACTGCCAAGGCATTGATTTATCTATGAGATTACAAATTGCGTTAACTTAATGTCAATTAGCTAGTGTATATATGAGAAGTATGTTGTATATTTTGCATCACTAGGTTTAACGATTCACTCGACCGTGCGGAAAAACATATGGAAATAATTGCGTCCAAGAAGGATTAACTACTAAGCCAGGCCGTTTTGTCTTTTTTTTTTTTTTTTTTTTTTTTTTATTTTATTTTTTTTTTTTTCAATATTCCGCCATGAGCTGCAAATCCCTCGAACTCCTCCCCACCCACACCTTAAATCTTCCGGTAACGGGCATAACCCAATTCTGGTTCACAACACTCCAGAAACTCAGATCCTTGCGCGTCAGCGACAAGCTCACGTTCACAGCTTGGCCAGGATGTAGCTCTACCTTGACGAAATTGCGGAGCACGCGGGGCGGGAAATCGACTGGCTTGGTGCTGTTGTCAATCGAGAGGGTTTGGTTGAGGTAGCTCATGAGGGTGCTGTTGTAGCTGCCATTGTTGAGTATAGGCACATCGAAAACACGCTCGGGGAACGAAACGTAGACCTGCACAACTTCCTTCCCGACACGGGAACCTGTGTTGTTGACGGTGACGTTTACTGTGACGAAGGGCTCGAAGAGGGATGGATTGCCCCCCTCACCACCTCCGGCGGGTGACGGGGGTTGCGCTTGGTAGTATCCTTCCGGGTAATTGTATGGGGGTTCCTTTTTAATATCCTTTACAGATGATAAATATGGGTAGATGTATTTGGCTAGAATACGGAATCCCTTTGGGAATAAGGCGGATTTAGCTTTGGGGATTGTCGTGTTGTAGGATGGTGGAGATATTCCTTGTGGGCGAGGCGATGGGAGTAGAGATTTGGGTTTCAACGTCGTAAGATTTAGGTTGGATAGAGTGAAAGTTGTATATGAGAGTCCATAGCCGAACTCATATCGCGGCGTTATGTTATGCGCGTCGAAGAAGCGGTAGTCGATATACAGGCCATGAGAAAAATTCTTCTGCGGAATCTCATCATCGGATTGGTAAAGAACCCCAGCTTCAGGGCCGTAGTCGGAAATGTTTTTGCCCATGGTGTATGGCAGTCTCCCACTTGCGTCCACATCACCAAATAATACGTCACTGAGCGCATTTCCGCTTTCTTGTCCAGGTAGATTCGCTAGAAGCACTGCTTTAACTCCTGAGAGATCGATCCAGGACTCAACGATCACAGGCCCAACAGAGTGGATAATCACTACTGTGTTACCATTTCCACCACCACAACCCGACGCCACCTGGAAGACAAGGTCGTCTGAATCTTTTTGGAGATAAAGGTGATTCCGATCACCACGAATGTCATTCCAACTTGCAAACCCTTCCCCAGAGTCTGCATTCGCGAACACAAGACACAAGTCTTTATCATCCATATCTTCTGGCTGGATCTGATAATTGGTCAAGTAACCATATACATATGTGGTCTGGTTATTGAAAGCTCTACTTATAACTTTCCACGGCGATATTAGGTATGGGAACTCAACAGCCCCACTACCCCAACCCGACCCCAGCGTCCCTTGGTTACAGGCTCTGTTGTCGCAAAAGTTTGGTCCATTGCCAGCCCCTGCGTCCTCTCCATAAATGCCCACATGAGACTTTTTATCTGGTGTATTAGGGCCGTCTCTTGAAAGGGGGAGGAATCCGTTGTCGTTCTTTAGCAAAATTATCCCTTCAACTGCAATCTCACGCGCAAGTAAGCCATGAGAACTGTTTCCCTGGCCCTGCGCATCGACATATCGGTTCACAATCCCTTCAGTATTGTCGCCGGGGCTGCCTTGGTGCAATCGGCCAATTTTATCACGGGTCCAGGACGAGAAGTTCGGGCCTCCATTGCCGTACGGAGGCGGTTTCGGCCAGGAGTCTTGTTTCAATTGGTACCAAGCAGCCACTACTCTCGCTGTCATATCATTCAATCGATCTATTGGCACAGATCCATTCAAGACAGCTCGAGTCAACTGGTGGCCCCACAGGGGATTGCCGTCCGCCCAAACCAGGCCATCTCCTGGCATTGAGACATCCAAACCAGCAAGTGCGCTGGCAACTCCACTCCTTTGTGCCAACCAGTCCGACTGGACAAAGCCTTGAAACCCAAGCTCATCCTTGAGAATGCCATTCAAAATCAAACTGTTTTGGCAAGCGTACGAATTATTCACCATCTGATATGAACACATCACACTTGCGACGCCAGCCCGTACGCTTTCGGCAAATGGCCACACATAAACCTCTCGGAGTGACCGATCATCAACATTCGAAGACATCGCAATGGGTATTCCCCATTCACCTTCTTGGCGAAAATGCTCTTGTTCATTGAGCACGTAGTGTTTTGCGGTCGCTATTACTCCATTGTCCTGAATTCCGCGAATAGTCTCTGCGGCTGCAACGGCTTGGAGAACAGGATCCGAGCCAAACCCTTCCCAATTCCGTCCCGCGGCAGGCAGGACACCGATAGGACCCATAACCGGACCGAGAAGGACATTGATCCCTTTGAGACGCGCTTCTTTCCCATGTGCAAAACCCCTCCTATACATTAAATCACGATTCCATGTTGCAGCAACGGTAACGCCGGCAGGAAACGCAGAGATATTTTCTGCAAAGCGAACGCCTAGAGGCCCATCTTGTAAACAAAGCGATGGGAAGCCCACCAAAGTAGCTGGGCCTGAGCAACTCAGTATTTGATCATTCATGCATGTCTTCAGAGGTGCTGCACAGGAATTTGGAGCAAGAAATCCAAAAGGAAAATATATGGCGACTCTGCCCCATTATACTGCATTGTAACGTCGCGAATCTAGAGGAATCTAGAGAAGTGTTGACCTACCGGTGTTTCCAACGCAGAGTCCCATCTGCCAGCCAATACCTGTGGTGATATTCACTTTTTCAAGTAAGCTCATTTTGTTTACTAACTCCTGGGCTTTCCTATAGCTTTCTGCCCAACTTTCAACAGTTCCACCTGGTGGAGATGGATACCACGGCCTTGATAACTGGAAATGGAACGTACGTCAGCGGGTTCAGGACGAGTGTATTCATCAATACCCAACCATTATCTGATTAGGGGGGTGAAAGGAAAAAAAAAAAAAAAAAAAAAGGGGGGGGGGGGGGGGGGGGGGTAATAAAATCAAAATAAAAGATTATAACATAGAATAAACAGAAGAAGTAAAATATATAAAACGACAACTAAAATATCAAAACACTCACACCATCCCTCGTCTTTATCCCCTGATGCCCAGGCTCTTCCGGCTGTTGGACTTTCGGACCTATAATCCGCTTCGCCCTAAGTACGGGCAAGACAATTACTAAGACACACACAACGATCCCGAGAGGCAGGGCGAGCAGCAGCAAAATCCTTCGACGCGTCCACCATTTTGCTGACGTTATCCGGGTAGTTTTGTCCTTATCCTTACACCCGCTGACATTGATGGTAGCTGATGCTGCGTGCTTGGTGTCGGCGAATAGCATTGAGGTGGAGATGTAGGAGGATAGATGGGGGAGGGGAGGAAGCAGGTATGGAGGGCTTCTGTAAGTGACTCCCTCAGTTGTCTGAACTACCTGTGCAATAAATAAGTTTTGCTTGTTAATTGTAAGGGCTTCTGAAACGGTTACGGCTGTGGCGCCCGATCAGCTTTATCATGGAGGGGGATTGGCCAGCTGTGTCTATTGTGACTGCTGATGTCGATTGATGGTCTGCTTGCTTGCTTGTGAAGTGGTCACAGGCGTGGGTACACGTACAAGCGCAGGAGAGCCATTGAGAGGCAAAGTCAAGCGATGTAACTTGCTGCGTTGTTCGCCGCAGTCGAGTGAGGATATACCAACAGGAGTTAACCTTCCAAGGTTGTGGCTGCCTGTCACGTTCTGGGACCCCTGCCAAGCACGCGTCCAAACAAGCTTAAATTTTAGTGTGGGAGGCGTTAGCCAATTGGGCTTTGTTTCCCCGAAGCTCTGACCTTTGCCGCTGTTATGAGGGCCAGACCGGAATTATTGGAGCTCCGGGTTTGATCCGTAGGCCCGGATGTAAGGTTCCAAGGTAAATTGTTTGTTTGTTTGGTTCTGTTTTAACGTCCCGGGAAGAGCGCGGGCAGCGCGCTTCCCGAGCCTCCCGAGCCTCCCGAGGGCATGGAAACGTGCTATAACTGGAGGGATCTATGTACAGTACATAAGAAGCAGAGGTTCCAAGGTATGAAAAGGTGGAAATTCTGTTTTGCTAGGAGTGTTGTCCTATCATGCACTGTCTATCTACATGCAGAAACAGCAACATAATTTGCAATCGCACTAGTGGATTGCCCCGTTTTTTGAGGCTATGTATTTCGATATTTGAGCTCTTCCCCGAGCAAAGCTTCTCTGCTCGGGGCTGGAGGTATATATTAGATAATTAATGGGACTTCACATGGTGACCAATTGCAGTGCCTTCCACTGAAGAGTCGAGCAAGCTAACAAAGTCAACAGACAAACAAACAAGAATGTTATATAAATCTATTTATCTTTACTATCGGATAGTGTTTGCCTTCCTGTTTAGGATCTCTTCCGCCTCCCCGTGGCGCTCTCCTTGGCCACGGTACTCGCGTCGTCCACGCAGAAACCAGTCGGCAATGATGATGACGACGACGACAAAATAGACTGCGGAAACGTAGTTCATGTCTAGAGGCGATAATACATTAGCTAGCGAGTCCTATGTTGCTCTTGGAGAATAGAAAGATGGCTTCGCGCCGGCAAGGGACTAGCGTGTGCGGTTAAAATACTTACTGGACGTCTCGACGGGATAAACTGAGGGGAACGAATACATAATAACGGTGAACACCGTCCAACAAAGAACTATAATGTTCGCAAAGAGGCCGAATTTCCCCAGCCAGAACGGACCGCGCTTGATGTTATTCCGCCCGCGGATGAGCAACGCAGTAATCGGGATCGCGTACGAGATGTACAGCAGGACAATGCACGCAGTCACCATGCTGTTAAAGGCGGTGGAGGAGCCGAGATAGAGCAGCCCCAATGCGCCGACGATGAAACAGCTGAACGCATGCGCCGCGATGGGCACGTCGAGCTTGGGGTGGATTTTTGACAGGTACTTGTGGAACGGGAGGCCGCGATCGCGCGCAAAGGACCAGCACAGCCGCGACTGCCACGTGTGGGAGGCAATCTGGCATCCAAAGCCGGTGCAGAGAACCAGGGATTCCAAGGCGATGGCACCGGCCTTGCTGCCCAGGGCTTGGTTGAAGAGCTCGAGAATGGGCACGCCGGTTGGCGTGCTGATGAGAGTTTCGAAATTGCTCAAGCTGAAGAACATGGCCATGCAGTAGAACCAGGCGGTGGTAAAGCCGATAGCGACGGTGCCGCAGATGGCGATGGGGATGGATCGCTCGGGACTAGCGACCTCCTCTGCCATATGGGTGGCGGAGTCGAGACAAGCGAAGACCCAGTTGGGGTTAATCAAGCCGACGATGAAGGCGATGCCGTCGGATTTCCAGCCCGTGTTGTTGATGAAGGTCGCAAAGACGAATTTGGCATCCTGGTGCGTGGGCGCTTTGGACGGGACGGTGATGAGGATTACCGTGAAGGATATGAGGGACAGATAGAGGGTTGTCATTGCGACCTTAGGGAGTAACCTGCCCACGCAGTTAAAGAGGAAGCACCAGGTGTTGATGACTTGGTAGGCGACGACGATGTGCCAGGCTTCGATGACGCTGAATAATCTTTAGTTAGCTTTGGTTCAAGTGAGGTAACGTAGGCATCAGTACAACAATGTCTATTACCAAACATTGTCCCAGGAATTTGTTCAGGGTGGGATATTCTTACAAGTCAGGATGCCCAAGCTGCCACATTCCAACGCCTGCAGCGGCCAATCCGAGCGCAACACTAGCAGAGGTGAAGATACTCCCTGTCCACGCGAACCAACCGGTCAGGTAGGACGCGAAGTTCGCATATCTGGGGGATGCCAGTTCGTTTGCCCAGAAGTACTGGCCTCCCGCATTGGGCATAGAACTCGCCAGCTCAGAGAGTGTTATCGCCACACAACTGGAAATGAACGCAATCCACGGGATGCCGTACATGACCAACAGCGGCCCGCCAGACGGAATGCCCGTGACCAGGGAGGCAGACATGCCGAACCACGAGTTGGTCAGTGAGAAGCCTACCCCGAGCAACGACAGCAACGAGAACTTGCGTTTCATGTCCTGGCTGTAGCCCATGGCCGCGAGATTCATGGCATCTTCGTCAAGGGAGCTCTTGGAGCCGGGATCGCTGGTCGGAGACGTCACCACGTCATCGATTTTGTCCATTTCTTGAGACATGGTTGCTGATTTATAGTTTAGTTCTTCTGCTAATAGGAAATTCACAGAGATTTTGGAAACAAGATTTTTTCCCCCTCTTGTTGGTTTGTTTTTGTCAGATATTGATTGGTTTAAGCAATGAGATGTAGCAAATAAAGGGCGTCGGTACGCAATATATACTTGTCGCTTAGGAAGGAATGAATGATACGATAATCACGATATCCTTTGCTGCATTGGGCTTGAGTACTGGCTCGACTGGTTTTAAGTGAAAGTACTTTGAACAGGGAGCGGCGCATTGGGGGTGGGAATATCGTGAGCTTTGTCGCCTGTGGGCGTGATAAACGGTCACTTCAAATTTAGATGAGCACAAGACAACCCCGTGTCACCACGTATTTGATATTCTTTTTGCTGCAAATGACTTTTCCTGTCCGAAGGAAGAAAATAATCTCGATTGTTTCTGAAAAGGCTATACAACAACAAAGCGGGTTGAGCCAGCCGCTGTGGTAAAAGACTGCCAAATCACTGGGTATCAATAGTTTCGTACAGGTCGTCTAAGGCACCAGCCGCTGCCAGTATCCAAGCACAGCACAGCTACACACAGACAAACAGGTAGATGGCCAGACGTGGCAATAAGAAAAGGGAGGGAGGAGAGAAGAAGGAAACAACAATAAAGGGCGGCGACGAAGGTCAACCGCCAGTCAGTGTCAAAGGGCTCACGGGTGGGATACAGACGAACCCAAGGACCGGGACGGGCTGGGATCCCGTATCGCTTTTATACCGGCGCCTGGCACGTCGAGAGGAAGAGCGCAAGAGCACCCGAAAAGATTAGCGGATCCCAGAGTTTTTCAAGGATTAATGGCGCCGGCAAGCTGGTGATGGCACCGCTGTCCGGTCACGTGAATCTGCTGGAATTTTGCCCATGCCAGATTCTGGGAAAGCTTAAACAAAAGAGCCACCCGCCATCACCAACCACTGTTTCTGTGGACGAACCAAGGGATTGATTCCCCGCCTCTAGCGGAGGAACAGGGTTTGCAATGACGACGGCGAGGGCGAATAATAATGTCGCGGGCAAAACTTCGCAGGCAGGGATAGGTTCTCGGGTCTAATTAACCCCCCCGTATGGGAAATCGCTCCGGTGAGTCTTGAACCTTGCTATCCTAGGCCACTGTCGGCTATTATGTCTCCCTTCGAGCCGTCATCGTCCTCTCTTCTTTTTGTTTGCTTTTCTTTTCTTCCGTGGGTGCTCTGTAGGAGGAGCGTGTCACTGGCGCATGCACAATGACGAACATTTCGCATATTTTTGAGCCTGCCAAATGAAACAGGCGGTATCGGTTCGTGTGTTTTGCTCTGGTGAGTCGTTACCGGTATGCCACGCGGGTGTGGCTGACGATCCTTCAAACTTCAGCGCCATTGAATGGAAAACTGGGAAAAGTGGCTTTCGGTGTCTTTGATCAGATTGAATTTGTTGATTTTTTTTTCGCCTCGGTTCCATCTCACTACAGCCGGATTACTAATACCGCCACAGGAACAGGGTCAAGGTTTGACATCATATTGCTGTATACTGGGAGTACTTACGCTAGATTATGATTCTTTTGCCTTTTACAAGTTCATACGGCGGCGTACGCAGTACCTTGTAAGCCCGGCTACTAGATTTTCTCAAGGAACGAGTGGGACCCCAACAATAAAATAGAAAGTGGGGGTTACGGAATACGACTCTGTCTGGAGGATTGTCCTTTTGGGCGTTCCTTGCGTGCGTTAGCCTTTTTCAAGCAAAGCGCAAAATCGATCTGCGCTTGGAGCACATGGAGCCCGCTTGAGCGTCGGCGAGGTCCGAGCACTCTTTTGTTGCCACAAAACCACTTCTACATTTGCTTGAGCTGGTTTGGGCTTTGGGCAATGGGTGAGATAATTTCTTCTAGGAAGTCGAAGTCTCGATTTGACTCTTTCAAAATTCGCAGGGTGATGGGGAGAGAAACGAATAACGCTCCTTGGGGGTTGGGGGGGATAGTGATGAAACATCCCCGATTGGGTGGGGAAAATTAATATTCCTATTCGTGGTTGATAAAAAGTTGATGAGAGCAAGGAGGAGGAATCTCCAAGTCCAGGCAACATTCTTTTGCCTTTCATTTCACATGGGAATGAACCAGATGAACTCTAAATAAATAAATATTTGCTACCTAACAACTCCAATGGGTGAAATATCCATACCAATGAAACGAAAAGGAGCTTTAACATAAGCAGCAAGAACGCCAAACCGGTTCCGTCTATAGCTTTTTCTTGACGGGATTGAGTGAAAATGAAAGGTACCACCCGGAGAGAGTATATATACGTATTTATACATATCATTATCACAATCTCCGCGGTTGCAACGCAAGAGGGCAAAGAGAAAAATGGTGGAAGAAATAAGAGACAATAGAACTGAATGTCGCGAAACGATGTGAGAGAGGAGTAAAAGAGTCTATGTAAGAAATCCATCGCATGTATGATATCCCGACCTGCAAACGTAAAAACATAAAAAAACAGAAAAGAATAAAATCCAAACCAAAAAGAGGGGGAAAAAAAATAAAAATAAAAATAAAGGAAGCCCCGTTATGTTCACATCATTAACTTCGGTCTTTTACGACCAAAAATAATCGCTGGTTCGAAAACGCTATGCTTCATCATCGGTGTCTGGCGGGTGAGGTGTGCCTTTGGGAGAGTTAAGCCTGGAAAGAGGAACGTTGTATGTTAGCAGAGTCCACCCATCAAACAAGGATGAGAAGTATGAATTGACAACGCACCATTCAATATGTCTCAATCGCCTCCGCACCTCACGTTCCTTCATCTGCGCACGAGTCAACTTCTTCTTTTTCTTCGCCTTGAACTTCAACTCTCCGCCCGCATCCTCCGCCCCAGAATTAACTGCAGACGCCGCCGCAGAGGCCACCGTGCTGGAAACGACGCTGCTAGCTACAGTGCTGGGTCCGCGCGAGCTGTCCTCAAACCGGTCGAGGGAGAGCGATATATGGCCCTTGTGCGTCATCCGGCCGTTTTCGACATGCCATTGCTCCGGGCATAGCGCACCGACGAACTCCTCGTTATGGGAAATCATCACCACGCCCCCCTTGTAGTCACGGATGGCGACGGCAAGACCGCCCAGCGAGTCGCGGTCCAGAAAGTTAGTGGGCTCGTCAAGGACGAGGAGATGCGGGTTATTCCACATCGCGCCGGCGAGGACGACTTTGACCTTTTGGCCGCCGGAGAGACCGGAGATTTGGTTGTGGTTTGCAATTTCTGGATCGAGGCCGACGTCTTCGAAGTGCTTGGAGATTACTTTCGGTTCCAGGACGCGGTAGCCTAGACCCTCGCGAGAGGCTTCGTGGTCGTCGTATTCTTGGACGAGCTTTTGGAAGCCTTCTTTTAAAAGGGTTTCGCGAGAGATGAAGGAGTTGTGCTTGGGAAGCATCCCAACCCATTTACTGGTTTGAATGTCAGAGAAGGGAATGGGGACAGAAACGAGAAAAGAAATGAAAAGTGATTTGGAGGGAAGAGGATTAAACGGCTTACACTTCATATTGGAACGTCTTCTTCAACTTTTGTCGACCAATCAAGGCTTCGATACGTCGAGGGCCTCTCCCATCTCCGATATCGATTGTTTTCTCCATTTGGATACGGTCCTCCTCAGTCAAGATCCTGGTTTGCTTCATCAACACCTCCCGATCATCGCCATTCTGATATCTCCATTGCAAATATTGGTTGGGTGTCTTTTCCATATGCATCTCCACGTGCTCCAAGGCATGCTGTTTAATGTACCCGATTCGAAGGTTGGGATGCTTTTCAACCTTGCCACTTTGAGGAATAAGCTCTCCAGTCAACAGCTTGATAAAAGTGGACTTGCCCGCTCCGTTACCGCCGATTATGGCTGTGCGAGAGGAAAGTGTCAGAGAACAGCTTGCATCTATTAGAGAAGGCTTCGAATTTCCAGGGTAAGTGTAAGTCACGTTAGTCATGCGAAGGATGGCACGGGTTTGCGACTTGACCCCAGTTAAGATACCCGGAGGAGGGAATTTGAATTGAACATTCGACGAGCTAAGGGTATAGTAGCTTTTCGCTTCCGGCTTAACCTTGACAAACGCAGCAAGGTTGCCTTTGTACCATACCAGTTTCTTTCCTTCATAGTGGTAGATGTCGGTACACACTTCGTCCAAAAAGCCGGAGTCGTGACTGACAATCAAACTGGTGATCTCGGTGTGTTTCTTCAGGTATTCCTGCAACCATTTCACATTCGCAACATCCAAATGATTGGTCGGTTCGTCAAGAAGGAGAACGTCAGCCCCCATGAGCATTGCTCGTGCCAGAGCCAGTTTCATTTTCCACCCACCGGAAAGCGAGCCAACTTTCTGTTGTTGCCGTCCGCCGGGGCCGGCAGTGAATCCAACCTCGCTCAAAACCTCGGAAATTCGTTTTTTGCCGCTTGCAGCCAGTTCCGGGTCTTTAGCAACGAATTCCAAAATACTCAAATCCGCATCTTCGCCTTGGTTATGCTCCACAAAGCATGTCTTCAAGACATCCTTGGGAGGAAATCCCTCCAGCTTTCCCTCCGCAATGCTGCGCATCAGAGTGGATTTTCCCGCTCCGTTGCGCCCGCAGAGTCCGTATCGATGGCCCTTGAGGAGTCTTAGGTTTGTGTGGGAGAGCAGAAGCATGCCACCATATGCAAGAGAGAAATCCGCATTGACAATTTCCACCTCGTCTGTATCTTCTTGCACTGGTGCTCCATATTTCCGCGTGTCCTCTTCTATGAAGTGGGCGTGAACTGCCGAAGCGATAACCGCCTCTTGTCCTTCTTTGACTAACTGGCTGAGATAAGGTCCGATGCAAAGTGGGATGCGTTGGAGAAGTCGTGAATTCACGTCGTCCCGAACCATTTCTGAGATATATGTTTTCGTGATAGCCCAGAATGGTTCATCTTCCTTGCGCGCAAGGCCGCCATGGGCTTTTACATGCTGCTCTAACACCTTCAGGACTTCATCTGTTGTGACTTGGGCCACAGCCCCGTTGGCCAAGTTAGAGCTGTCATCGCCCATAGCTTTCTGGATGACATTCAATGCTCGTGTTGCTAGCTCCCGGACCTCGGGTAGCGAAGCTCTGTCTTTCACTCCTTGCACGCCTGGCTTCAACTTTGGTAAAAATGTCCTTTGCCTCATTAGGATCATGGACGAGCTTTGTGAGATTCTCGACGACAACGACTGTTTGGCGAGGACTTCTTGTGGGGTTGTATGTGTATTCAGAGATCGTTCAAGATGAGGAGTGAGAAGGGCTAGCACCGGGGGAGGTAACTAACGCAACGAACGTAGTCTGTGATAGGCATGGATGCCTTTGTAAATTGTGCGTCGAGTTTTCCCATCGCTTTAATTAGCAGTGGGATTCTGGAGCTACATCGTCATTGTAGAGGACTGTCGTCAGAGCAGTCATGGTTTTAACAGCTTGTTTTGAGACCTCGTTTTTCATATCGTGCATGCCGGACTCGACGATAGGGATCAAATCCTTTAAACACTTGCCCACAGAATCACGGAGCAAGTCCTTTCGCAGACTCTCCTCCTTAGTATCCGAACCAGCCTGAGTTTTCTCAGCCACTTTTTCCAGAAGGCGATAAGCCTCCACAGCACCTTGCCACTTCGCAGTAGGTTTGCTAAGATACGCCGATAGCGCTGGAACAAAGGCGGTGACCAACGACTCAACCTTCAAACAAGCAAACAGCGCATCAACAGCATATTTGGCGGCCTCCCGCACCACAGCACCCTTATCACCTAGCGCATCCAAGGCCAGGGAAAGCAGCCCCCCGTCCTCAATTAAGAATATAACCTCGCTAAGCGGTTGTTCTCGAGGAAACCTCTCGAAAAGGGCGCCTAATATCAGCATTGCACTCTCTCGCTTTGCCCCGCTTTTCTTATCTACTGCCGCTTTTTGGATGCCCCTCAACAAGCCATAGCCGTGTAGTCCACGAAATCCGACGGATTGGATGAGGAGGTTTGTCAAGGCATAGGAGGCGTCTAGAGACTCTTGCGATTTGTCTGCATTCAATATCGTGTTCATCAAAGAGGCAACCTCCTCCTCGGAGGGGGGAACTGAGGATGGGGTCTTCGGGATAACAAGTGGCGCGGATGACATGGTGGGTGATCGTGATGGCGAGACGAGATGTGGCATACTTCAACGGAAAAAGGAAAGCCCAAGGAAAGCCTAAGGGAAGAGAATAAACACCACAGGAGAGGTAGAAATCAATATATTCGAATATATATATAGCTGTGTGAAGAGTGGAGATTGTTGTGCGATCGCAAAATTTGAGACGAGTCTAACAAAATGAATAATGAGGAAAACGTTAAATAGATGATATCTTCAAGAAAGTTGCTCTATTAAATGCGCTATAAACTGCGAAACAAGAACATGGAGGGTGCAAAAAAAAAAAAAAAAATAAAAATAAAAATAAAAATAAAAATAAAATAAAAAAACGAAGCGACACTGGGATAAGGCTACGTTGGAGCGATAAAAAAAGTTTCAGGCGGGAATTTTCTGATTAGTCAGCGTTCTACCAACGAACTGGCCACAGGAAGGGTCCGAAGGGATTTACGCCTTTGAATATACAAGAAGTAGGAGGAGTATTTTGAAATATTGATAGCGGTGCTAGGTTGGGCATCTATATATAATAACATAGCAGATTTGCGGTTGTTCGGCACCCAGATGTCTATCCATAGATTGAGATAGTCTTAATTCGACTCCAGTGCAGTAATCAACAGTGCTTGCAGCCGCTAAACGAACAAAGATCGGCAACTACACAACGGCGCGCTTAGCCTTTAGATATCCGTGGATGCTTGAACCGCTTAGACAAGAGAGACCATTGACAATCGAGCTCGTGGTGAGCTGGATGGGTAAGCAGTGACTATCAAAGCCTCATCCGTAAAATCTACATTTCTAGAAAAATCAAACGTAATCGTTCCATTTGATCCCGTGGCAATAATGCGTGAGTTGCTCACGGGGATTAGAAAGCTGCAGATTAATAGATTAGCGTACAGCGCCTGCTTTGGTTCTCTATTTTGTGGAGAAATAAGGGAGTTGAATTGGTTCAAACATACAATCTTCAGTATTCCCTTCACCCATACTCTTGTTAGAGCTGCTGCCGCTGAGGATAGAGCCGACAATGCCGTCCATATAGGGGGCGCCACTCCATTTCTGGTGCGTGAGGACGTCAACCCCCATCTCCTTCTCTCGCCTTTGGACGAGGTTCACATAAGCCAACATGCCATCGTCTTTGAATTTGCGAGAAAGTTCACTTGTCATGGTAGCATTAGTGTGGAGACCGGCGAGGGAGATGAGTTGAAGGGTGAAACTAGAGACAGTTGGTTAATCGCCTGGTTCACGAGGCTTTTAATATAGTAGGGGCCTCAAGCAAGTAAATAGGAATGAAAGAATAACTCACCCATGCTGAGCGATATCCCAAATAAACGACTTGAGAGTGGCTTCGGTGAAACCGTGTCCCATCCAATTAAAAGAAGGGCTGAGATTGTACACCAGCTTTTTGCCAGGGTATTTTGCTCGGATGTCTCCTGCGAACGACGCCGCCTTCTCAACACTCGGGTCGCCAGTTTCAACCCAGAGCAAATCAGCGTAGGGGGCAAAATTGATCGCACGTTTCGTGGCCGCAGCATTACCGGCAAGGTAATGGTAGTAACCCTCCCGAGTCCGGGGAATATCCCAAGACCAGAATACGGGCGACTTTGTGTACTTGCCTGCAAGAGCTCGTCGTTCATTGATCGACATGTCCCGGTTTTCGGTTACTTGCTTCTTATAGGCGTCAATGGATGACTGTGAGGCTCCCTCGGATTTAAGATGCTGCTCGACAGCTGTATACGGATGTTAGTGCCTTGGAGATGAATAGTAGTTAATGGGGAGAAGTTATTCATGTATATTCCTAGGATTACCTTCATCGTACGTAACAAGTTTATGATTTTTAACCCATTGTGACTCGAATTTGTCGATCTCAGAGCCGGGGGCTCCGTCCAACTCCATTCTCTGTAGTGTTTCGGCGAGCGGACTGGAGTTTTCAGTCACACCGAGGATGAACTCATGGTCCCGGACATCGATGGTGCTGCTTAGGAGTTTGCCGCTTTCCGAGTCCGTTCGGGCGATGAGAAGGTTTTCGGTTCCCATAATATCCCATTGGAATCTTGCGGCGACGAGTCTGTTGATGTGTTCGGCAATGGGGACAAGCACCTTGCCGGCAAGATGGCCGCATTTTTTGCCTCCATGAAGCTGGTCCTCGAAATGGACAGCAGCGGCTCCGTTTTCGGCAAAGAGTTTGGCCAGTTTCAATACTGCCGTAAGGCCTCCGTGCCTATTTGGAAAATTGTTAAAACGCGCTCTGAATTTCAGCGGTGACCGCAACTAACCCTGTATCGCCATCAGCGATTATTGGTCGCATGAAATCGGTGTACGGCGTCGTCCTGCGCTGTTCTGCAGAAAGCTTCCTTCTCGCATCCCATTCTTTGCGGTCGTGCATTTGCTGAGCCTTGAAGAGTCTCTGGACCTGGTTTGGGACTGTGTTGTAAGGGTAGTCTCCAAAGTCCGCGGATACTTCATTTGTGGTGGTGAGGAGGGATGAACACGCCCACCCTGATATATACAGCACCTCTTGGTTGGGAGCTTGCTGTGTCATCTGGACGGGATCAATAGCACCAACTGTATTTCCGTTAGGAGAGATCAAAATACTCAAGAGGTAATAAGAGCTGGATTCATCACACACGGGTATGTACAGGTTTTCCAGCCTTTGCCCTCTCATTCAACAAATTGAATAGCTTTCTGGCCATAATCGAGCTTGGATAAGTCTGCTGCAGCGAACCCCGCTTGCTAACAACCGCCTCTGCTGAGTATGGACGCTTGATACCCTCAAAGCGCGGTGTGTTCCACCACTTGGTCACAGCTTGTACCTGCTCTTCAAAAAGCTCATCTTCAGCAGGCCCTGACTTTTCAGAGGAAGGTAGTAGCTGGAATGAGTCGGATGCGTGTGCCACTGAGACGGGTGGGTTGACTGGAGGCAGTTGGGACGCCATCCATGGGCAGCCACAGGAGAACGTTCGGGCGGCAGTATAGGAGAGAGAGGGAGGGCGAGAGAATGGACGAAGTTGTCGGGGCAAACGGCGAGCAGCGTTGCGAATCATGATCTGCCTTTGGAATAACTGCCCTGACCAGCTGTGCCGGGTTCAACCAGTAGGAAAAAGTGCCCAAGGAGTTCCACTTTTACGTATATCTGAAGAGGCTGTTATACATGGTCAGCAAGAGGGGATTGAGTCGAAAGAGCTTCTTTCCAGAATACAAATGGTGCAAGGCAGCATTTAGGCACTTGGCGAACTTTCATGTATATATGGAGAGAGAGAGCTCGTCTCTCAAGGTGGCAAGTAGAATATAATATATACATACCAGAAGCTGAGGAGACTCGGATTTCTACAAGCCCGTTGATGATGACGGCACAGAAACTGCACGATGGTCATGTAGAAGAAAAGAGGCAGCTTGTCATATGGCAAACCCTAAGCAATTAGCGAGTTAACGAGTGGATTCTCACTGTCTGCCCCTGCTGGTTGCTCCTTGTATCCTCATCTCCCGTGAAGCCCCTCGGCAAACGCCCAGCGAGATCCGTCTCCAGCCGCAGTTTAGCCTAGCCGATGTTTCGGGCGGGCGGCTCTCGCCCGGCGATTTTCCCTCAACTTTCTCCAATATTTCCCAGAAATCCCAACAAACAAAATACCCTTTAAGCGTTGTTCGCCCTGTTGCACCTCTCTTCTTCCAATTGACCAATATCCCCCCGAATACACTTCCGAAAATGGCATTGGCTAGAGGCACTACAAGACAGGTGCTGAGGGCGTCTCAGGTATAGTGCTACTGCGATCCCGGCCGGTACTTCAACTCGGGTTTTTTCATTTCTTCCTGTGCTCACTTTTGCCTATCTTAGATTGCCTCTCGGTCATTTGTCCCGGCTTCTCGCTACTACTCCACCGCAGAATCTGACCTCAAGACCACTTTCCAAAATGCTATCCCCGCAAAGAAGGAGCTGTTCCAGGAGGTCAAGAAGCGTGGTGAGGACGTCATTGGCGAGGTGACCATTACCAACACCATCGGAGGCATGAGAGGCCTGAAGGCCATGGTTTGGGAGGGCTCCGTACTGGACGCCAACGAGGGCATCCGCTTCCATGGCAAGACCATCAAAGATTGCCAGAAGGAGTTGCCAAAGGGCACTTCTGGAACTGAGATGCTCCCCGAGGCGATGTTCTGGCTGCTACTCACTGGTCAAGTTCCGACCACACCTCAGGTCCGAGCGTTTTCCCGTGAACTGGCAGAGAAATCACTCCTTCCTCAGCACATTCTGGACCTTGTCAAATCTTTCCCCAGGACAATGCACCCAATGACCCAATTATCCATCGCAGTTGCGGCCTTGAACACCGAGTCCAAGTTTGCCAAGGCTTACGCCGATGGTCTCAACAAGGCCAGCTACTGGGAGCCTACCTTTGATGACAGTATTGCTCTTCTCGCCAAGATCCCCCGCCTCGCAGCATTGGTCTTCCGCCCCAATGAGATCGAGAAGGTGGGCAAACAGGAGCTCGACCCCGCACAGGACTGGGCGTACAATTTCGCAGAGCTCCTTGGAAAGGGCGGCAAGGCTAATGGAAGCTTCCACGACCTTCTCAGGCTCTACCTCGCCCTTCACGGTGACCACGAGGGTGGAAACGTTTCCGCCCACGCCACTCACCTCGTTGGAAGCGCCTTAAGCGATCCCTTCCTCAGCTACAGCGCTGGTCTCCTCGGTCTCGCCGGTCCCCTCCATGGCCTTGCTGCTCAGGAAGTGCTCCGCTGGATCCTGAAGATGCAAGCCGCAATCGGCAACAAGTTCACAGATGCGGATGTCAAGGACTACCTCTGGTCCACTCTCAAATCCGGTCAGGTCGTTCCCGGCTACGGGCACGGTGTTCTGCGCAAGCCAGACCCTCGCTTCGAGGCTCTGATGGACTTCGCCAGCACCAGGCCTGACATAATGGCCAACCCGGTCTTCCAGCTCGTCAAGAAGAACTCTGAAATCGCCCCCGGCGTGTTGGCTGAGCACGGAAAGGTAAAATCCTCCCCTCCCCATTACTCCAAAGGAATCTATGTGAAAACTAACCCAATATTATGATAAAACAGACGAAGAACCCTCATCCGAACGTCGACGCTGCCTCAGGTGTTCTCTTCCATCACTACGGGTTCCAAGAACCCCTTTACTACACCGTCACCTTCGGTGTGAGCCGCGCTCTCGGCCCACTCGCCCAGCTCATCTGGAGCCGCGCCTTGGGCCTGCCCATCGAGCGCCCCAAGAGCATCAACCTCCAGGGCCTTCTCAATTTGTCCAAGAAATAAATTATGTGCCAGTTGTTCTAGACGCTGAAAAATGGAGAGATATGGTAAGTTTGATGTAGCTGTTGGGTGCCGTGGATGAGTAAACCGTCAAAAATTTAGGTAGAGGAGGTCGGTCGAAAAATGGATGACATGATATCCAAGCTTGGCAAAGGTGCATTTTTGTTGTTTTTTGTATGTCTGTATTTACATGTACATTTATTTACATTGAAATGTTAATAGAAAGTCAGATACCAAAAAGTTTTGTATTATGTTTACTTTTGTGTTTATATTTATATTCATTTTTATCTTTTTTAAGACCCCCTGTCGCGTTTACTAACTTGCGGCGTATAAGTTCTCCATCGAGCTGTCTCCTTGTCGACAGAAGGTCAATCGCTGGAAAATGGGGAACCCAGTGAATTGGAAAATCCATCCATATAATATACAAGAGACGTTCTTTTCACATGTCGGATTATTTATACGACGGTGGTTTCTGGAGGGGGAAAAAAAAAGAAAAAAGAAAGAAAAAACCCCGCGATCTGGCTTTCAATAAATATTTGCTGAAAAACTGGGCCTTCCCCAGGTTCTCGGTTTCGATATATGATATTTGCAACACAAGCAACCGAAATAAGCAGATTCCTAATAGTGGGTAAAAATGTCCAAATTGGCACATGACATTAACTAAATTTCTTCAAGGATTCTCAAATGTCATTTTCAAGAATGAGCCCTCAATCTCGTGTCCAACATTCCACTTAGTTTCGCGGCGAATTCACGTTATGAGCGATAAGGATAACTAGTCAATAGTTGAAAATGGTGCAGAGTATAGTATTCCGACAACTTATATTCTGCACCCACCCTATCCTCCTGGCTCCATACCACGGGAGGGGCATCGATACTCAAGAGTGCAGCTAGGCAGCACATCCCGTCGCTCGACACGAGGCCGCATAGTAAAAAGTTGACCCTCAAGTGTGCTTCCGGAATAGTCGAGTCGCATCATATCAAAATCAGCGAAATTGCCTGTGACGCCTGAGTCGTGGTCGCCATCGGAGGGGGTCCGCCAAGTTGGCACCGAGGCCAGCGTCCAGGAACGTGAAAAAATGACTCGGATACAACGTCGTAGATGCAGCGCCGTATGCATTAGCTGCCGTTATCGCTGCATTGGTTCTGTTCACAAGGTCAAGGAGAGGTATCACCAGCTGGCTTTCACTGACCGGGACCAGATAAAGTTGTCATCCAAGGAAGGATTTCCACTGGTTCCCGAATCAGGCATAAGAAGCATTCCGGAGCATTGCAGCCATCGTCGGTTGTTTCCGTGGGGCGAATTTTCGCAATTGCGCGAGGCCATGAGTTGGTCGACGGAACGCAAGTCCACAAGTACTATGCAACCAAGCGCCATTTCTGGAGTTGGAGCTATCCGGGAAGGAACAAATACACCATTTAGTTATCCGATCCATCAAATATAGGGGAGACATTGTCTTCCGCCAAAGGGGCCTGGACACGAAGCCGATCACATGTCGCATGTAAACCTAGAGGGATCGAAAGCGGAATGGAGAGGAGAATCTGTCCTTGCATCGAAGAATAAACCGGATAAAAGAGTTTCCCAGGGTCTTTTGTACCCCGCATACCTTTCACAAGGAATGCCCATACTTTGTTTGAGCATCATAATCTGCATGGCCCATGTGAAAGTCTAGTGTATATCAATTTGGGGGTGCATGCTCCTGACTAGTGCCTTAGAAAACAGGACAAGTCAACTGATCAAAGTCGTGTTTCGCTGCAGGCATCCAGGTCGACTTCGCGTGGAAATATTGTTTAGTATTGCAGTCTTTTGTATCTCATGGTTCAGTTCGTCTAAATTGGAGCTTGAGCAGGGCTTGAATGAAGCTCGCATATTCATGTCTGGGAACCCTGAAAGAGTTACAAGGACCCAACAAATACGAAGGGGGGATACTTAAGTCTTCAGAAATCATCCACTTTGTGTCTCATGCCATCTTATTACATCCATTGGGTAGTCCGTCCATGGAGGTTGCTCAAAATATAGATAGCTAAAGAATATCGATAACTAACTAACAAAAAGGACATGCCCGCGATTAGTCAGTCGATCTGATAACAGCCCTATCTCCACCCAACATCGCAGCGACAACTCCCCGTTGTTTCAACACGCCCACCGGCATGCATCATAGCCATTGGCCACTGCACATCTGCAACCGTCCAACGTAGCTTTTTCTCCAACCTCCAATATGTGCAATGCGCGCAATGTGTGCAATGTGTGCAATGCCCGCCGCCAGCAGCAACCCCTTTGGGAAACTTTTGAGTTGCCCTTCGCGAATGATGCGCGCTGTTCCACATACGATGGAAAGGAGAGGATGCCGCACACTAGTTGACGCCGCTGGCTGACCTGGCTAGGGTTGCTCCATGGCCTGGCTGGATATTGCACCAGAGGTCCTAATGCAGTCGACGCTCAAGCGAAGTATACCTCTATTTGGGAGATCCAAGGTTCTAACAGCCAACCTTGGCTGTCCATGCAGGGTTGATCTATAAAATAGCTGCATGAACCTGGAAGACACCACCAGCGGCGAGATTCCACTGCACAGTACATGCCTATTTGAGAGAAAGATCCATCCGAGGGAAATAGCATATAACGATACACATTACACACACACATATGAATAAAAAGATATATGTGCGGCATTTCCAGGCAAATAACTCGAGGAATATGCGTGAGGCCTACTTCACACTCTTCTTGAGCCACCCTTCTCATGCTCACATACAAAGCTACAACCATGGTCTCCTCCAGCGTGGTTGACACCGCTGGCTCTCTAATCGAGCTTATCGATAGCCTCGACAACCTACCAACATATCCTCCGTCGCTGTACATCGATCTCGAAGGCATCAAGCTCTCTCGCGAAGGCAGCATTTCTATCCTTCAACTGCTCAATCATCACGCAGAGCACGTGTATCTCATCGATATCTATCTCCTTGGCGAGGAAGCCTTCACGACAACTGGCACAAATGGAAAATCGCTCAAGAGCATTTTAGAATGCCCAGCGACACCCAAGGTCTTTTTCGACGTCCGAAACGACTCGAATGCGCTGTTTTTCCATTTTGGCATTCGCCTTCAAGGAGTCGAAGATCTACAGCTTGAGGAAAGCGCGTGCAGGCCCGGACCGCTGTCGAGGAAAAAGTTCGTCTCGGGCCTGGCAAGGTGTATAGAGATCGATCTGCGAATTTCTCCTAGCGCTAGAAGAGTGTGGAAAGAGAGTAAGGATAAGGGCATGCGGCTCTTTGCCCCGGAGCGTGGTGGATCCCATGAAGTATTCAACCTCCGACCCATTCCTCAGAGTATTATAGATTATTGTGTCCAGGACGTTTCATTTATGCCGCACTTGCGAACGCTTTATTGGAGCAAGCTTTCGCCCGAGTGGAAGGCCGAGGTTGAGGTTGCAACGAAGGAGCGGGTTCGGGTGTCTCAGACTCTGACATACCAGCCAAATACTAGGGACAAAATCCTAAGCCCATGGCAGAGTGTCGACAGTGGGAGGGCGGCAGATGATTTTTTTGGACGTCTTGATTTGTTTGGCGGCCGGATACTGGGGCCATGAGGGTGGGATGGTGGACTACAAGATAGTGGCGCGTTCAGGCCCCTCTATTCAGGAAGTGTGAAATAACTTGAACTTATTTCCTTATGTGTTCAATGCTACATTTCCATTAAATCGATGTTAACGCGGTTACCATTTGTGCGGTTTGAATTCTCCGATTTTCATCACTTAAGATTCTAACGGGGCGAGATAGTATTGTGTTCGACGGAACAGGAGGTTATTTCAAATGGGGAAAACGCAATTGGGATTTGGAAGGAAACTTAGGGATGTGAGCTACACTGATATGCATACTCCGTACGATATTGTGCCAAAGAACGAGTAATAGTAAAAAAAACAACTATTACGTTGCCCAATGTTCTTTCGCAACCGTGCGCGAAGGGAGTGGACCATACGTAAATAAATCCGTTAATCATGTTTTCATCCCATTTAATTCGACTGCCTCCATTGGACTAATGTAGTCCCCAGTATTCGAACATCTACCATACAAGCGGTTCATCCAATACTAATAGAGGGATCCTTGCAAACACCTTTCGCAGTAACCGCCTTCCTTATTAAGTTTAACCTCACGTAAACATGGCATTCGGTGGCATTTTTGATTAACGCCACTATCACAACGTGTGGATCCGTGCGTGCGATGTTTTCGCACCGATCCGTACGCAGCAACTGCAAAGTATTAGCGCCGTACAGCCTTCCTTATTCAATTAGATTTATAATTGGCGTCATTATCATCGTGCGCGGGGCAAGTATCTTCATCAACATTCAAGAAGTTAGCATCATATTTTCTCAAGGTTGAATTCAGAACGGGTGTATGGAACTGACGGCCTATATCAATATGGAAGATCTCGCTTTCTTGCATCAAAAATAGAGTTCAAAACAACTGTACAAGCGCCAGCGGCAGCAGCAGCTGCTGCAATCTCATTTTCAACATTCAAATCCATCATGATGATGAGATTATGCCCACTGCGGGGTTCGAAGCTCTTAATTATAGTGATGGATTTATTATCATATCCTTTACCCGACGTACAAGAGCTTTTCAATTAGATTAATACGACATTTACAAATCCTACGCCACGAGAGCGCCGAATCGTGGCATCTATGCCTATATAGGAAGGCAGTGCGTACTAAAAATATTTTGCGACTTGGCGTTGCTGGATCCCTCTTGATAATCATATTTGAAAAAAAAATATAGTCTAAGTAGCGGGCTTTATGAAAGCGACGAACCAAACCAGGGGCTGGAAGATCTCAGAGAGGAAATCGATTGTGTAGGCGAAGGGCTAAAGTGTAAGGCGTATGATCTGTTCGATAGTTACTCGCTTCATAGCTTAACGCGGCCGCTGACCAGGTCTTCCCAGTCGCTTCGCCCAAAGTCCAAGTATGTATCATTCTGTGGAAGAAGCCACAAGAATCGGTCATTCTTTCCTTCCGGAGCCTTCGACCCTAGTTTGTCGGGATCGACGCCTTCATCCCTCAGGGGGACCTTATTTTGTTTCTGGTTGTGAGTGTGGTTAGAAGCTTCGACTAGGCGCAAAAATACCGGAACTGCGTGCTTCGGCAACCTTTCGCGCGCATATCGAGCAAAAGCGGCAAAGCCGAAGTTGGCCCGTTGATCAGGCTGGATGAGGATAGCCGCACAGCCGGCACGACCCTCGTGGGTAGGCACAGAGACGCCGTAAACGTTAGCCTCGGCGACACCGGGGTATTCGCCCAGCACGGCGGCTACTTCTGCAGTGGATGCGTTCTCGGATTTCCAGCGGAATGTGTCGCCGAGACGATCGAGGAAGTGCCAATGGCCATCTTCTGTGCGGCGAAGCGCGTCCCCGGTACGATAGTAAATGTCTCCCTTCTTGAAAACGTCCCGGACGAACTTCTTAGCTGTCGCGTCGGGGTTCTTCCAGTAGCCCTGGAAGGCAGATTCGTCGGGCACGGAGATGATGATTTCGCCTCCTTCGCTGTAGGGAGCACGCGTTGCGAAACCTGTTTTCGGATCGCGGTACATATCTCCAGTCATGGGGTCGATAACAACGGGGATATAAACATTATGCATCAGGCGGCGGAGGATAGCACCGTGATGTCCGACACAACGGGATTGGTAGGGACCGCTGTCGTAATTGATCAACGTAAAGAGCCCTTCCGTGCTACTGAAGAACTCTGCAACATTTGGAATACCGAACCTTTCTTGGAATTTCTCCCAAACGTCCGGTCGCAGGCCATTGCCGTACATGCAGCGAACATTATGACCGCGATCCAATGGCGAGGGTGGGGCGGAAAGTAGATACCTAGCTGTCTCCCCAACATAAACGAAGTATGTCGATTTGGAATCATGAATGTCTTTCCAAAACCTGCTCGTACTAAACTGCTTGGCTATAGCAACGCTCACACCAGTGAGTATGCAGGCTATGATGCAAACAGAGGCAGTACCATGGTACATCGGCATGCATACATACCACCTGTCACCTCCAGAGCCTCCTCTGTCGCGTAAATCTTTCTGGAAGATCGTGGTATACATCCGATTCATAGTAAACGCGCATCCTTTGGGTAGCCCCGTTGTACCTGAGGTATAAAGAAGCATAGATGGGAATTCACCATGCATGTTGCGAGGAAGACTTCTATCCGAAACAGCTGTCGGAAATGAGGAAATATGACTCTTGAGAGAATCATCTAAAAACACAGGATGCATCTTGAGATCATTCTCAATCTCATTCCTCTGGTCATGAATCCGTGCCGTGCATTCAGCGTCTGCATCCACAACTATGACATCTGCTCCACTGAGTTTGAGGCAGTGAATTAGGCCCGCGCCTGTGAGATTGTAGTTAATCATTGCGGGACCACAACCGATAGACCACAGGCCGAGCCATGCAAACACAAATTCGGGGGAATTCTGTAGGTAAAATGCCACCAAATGGCCACGCTTCACGCCAATGGAAAGGAAGTAATTCCCATACTGGCAGGCAATATCAAGAACTTCACGAAATGTATATGAGCCGGTCCTTGACCAGACACAGGGCGCATCCGGGTACTTCTCGACCACGTTCCTAAAGACATACCACACGTTCAACCGTCCTTCTGCTTCTAAATTATGGTTGGAACATGAGCTATCAGCCCAATTGGTGATGCCAAAAGTGAGTAAGCGGGATCACTTACTTGCGCGGGCAGCAATGCGTTCACTACGTCTCATCCGGTGGATTGTGTAGACGTCCCGTCTGAATTGGTACTTGCCATCCAGGTAGGCACCCAAAGCACCGATACCGGCAACGGCAGCAGCAGCAGCTATTCAATCAATCTGTTAGCCAACTTGTAGTCTATTAAAGAGCGGAGATGTGGTAGCAGTACCCAAGGCCATCCTGCTTCCAGTTTGCTTGGTTCCGGTGACAAAGCGAGCCCCTCTGTTCTGCGAAACAGCTACTTGGCGCGAAGTTCAAGTATTATTAGACTTTACCAAAATTCGAACAGGCAATTGAAAGCAAATCTCACGACAGTTGTTGGCCAAAGGTTCACGAAATAACAGATTCAATTCTATTGCCATGTATGAGAAGGACGGCAATAAGATTGAACAGAGAGAAAGAACGAGATGAACTTGGTATAGCAACCTATACCAGAGGTCAAAGATAACATTTGCAACGCTTCTTATTCCTCAAAAATTTCCCCACTGAATTGCGACATCCTCGGCTCATCTCCATAGGAGAGAGCAACCCACCCAAACCCATTTGCTGGAGAAACGCCATTTTGCCTAGGCAAAGACTCCACGGGCCGAAGGCCTGATTTGCTTGAAGTTGCGAGGTTACTAACTTCAACCCCAATTTCCAGCACAGTCGCCCGTCTGGAAATAGCGGTGCACAGATTAGCCAGCTAAGATAATGGATTGATGAGGAGATAAAAAGGTTAGCCGGTGAGGAACCAGGAGAGCCATGGATGGTTCTGCACACCGGTATCTGGACATGTGACTTATTAACCCTAACTATAAATTGATTTTGGTGAAGTGATTCTGTGGCCAAGTCTTTGAAAAAACTCAACGTCTCTGCCGCGGTCGTCCCTTTACTTGGAGGATTTTGTCAGTAGTATTATCTGAAGTGTCGCGGGGAAACATCTTGCGCAGTAACTTGTTACTCCGTAGAATTGCTGCGGCTGTTTTGCACCCGAATGGCGTCTGGCGAAGTTTTGTTCCACCTTCGGCTCAGAGGATTCTAGCAGTGGACACGTTCCGAAAATAACGGGTTTATTTTTCCTTAACGCATTTTCTACCAGAAGCATTGGATTCTCCGTCATTTTCGACCACATCGAGGTCCTGATAAGAAGGAGAATTCCAGTTATCAAACAAGCTCCTGGCAGCAGAGTGAATGTTTGATCGGAGTTGAGAGCTTTCGCAGTGATCCAGCATCCCGCCAAGAAACTCTCTGCCTTCTCCAATAGCCTGAGACAACATCATCCTGATTTAATCCTCTTGTTTTTCTTTGCCGCCTTCGGAAATAATAGTAATGCGCTGATCCTGCTAGTTTGTCCTGATCTGGAGGTCATAATACCCGAGTCTCCCGTCCGTGGTACTTCTGCTGTGTGGTGATATTTGGATATGGTAGTTTCGGAAAGACTTCTATATTTGCAATTTTCCTTACGACAGCGTTTAGCCACTTGAAATTTGGCCTGATCACCAGTTGGATAATTATTTCGCTGTTCCTATCCAGGATTATTTGATCCATCTATTTCTTCTCTGGGTACAGGTACACTATAGTAATTGCAGATAACAAAAAACAAAGTCGCGCCTATGAGAAGTGATCGCAGTAGGCTTCGATGCAGGGAACGAAAACTGATATTCTGATGTCATTTGATTCACCCATCCCTTTTTATCAAGAGGGTTGCAGAAGATTCAAGCAGGTTTTTTTTTTTTTTTTTTTTTTTTTTTTTTTTTTTTTGATAATCGGTTCAATCCACGTGACTTGAATAACCCTATATAACCCCTATTTCTGATGTTCAGCAACTCCTCTGAAACAACAGTGCACCGACGCCGCCCGAGCCATAATGATCTATATATAAATAAACTCGATCGATAAGAATCGTTACATGAGAGAGTAAATAAATCGAATCCTCCTGAGTTGCTGATGCCAAAATACTGCCAAATTCCCAACTTTGATAACTGCCAGTGGCCAACCTCCTTACCGTTGCTTGCTACATTTCTGAAACGTCAAGAATCTCATATCATGTTCCGCCAGTTACCCAAAGGGGCGATGCCAGTGCCAAATTCAGACAATTGGCGGTTTGATGCCCCATATATCTATTCGGTTGTTGTCTCATTGATTGGTTGTGTCAACGATGTGTTGGAGGTTGTCCCCTCTTTCGATATTTCCCCATTCTGGGTTCCATATTGATATGGAAATTTTTATACAAATTCTGAAGGAAATTTCTATGTTCCTTTAGATCGAATAGAGCTCTTTCTAGTATTTTACTCCTTTATAAGGCGCTATCATCTGTTTGCTCCGAGTAAATATTCTTTCGTTGATCCATCTATTGCTTTGACTGTGGCCATCAAAGAAAAGAAGATTAAGTCCAACTACCATTATCAATTTTCAACATATGTGCGCGGTAATTATATAACTACCGCAATCTGGCGTCATGAAATCCCACTTTTGCGTAACAACTCTCTTCGCACTCGCCGCCGCCCAGAAAGTTACCGTCCCAGCAGACCTAGCCCAATCATTCTCGAGCTCGGGTACAGAGGGGCTGCAAGTGAGCTTTGGCAGCGATGCATCCGAGGGCATTACAAATGGCCAAACTATCAGCTTAAATGGTCAGACTATTCGTTTTTCCCACTCTCCCTCACTGTATATCATGTCTTAACACCCAACAGACGCCCAAAGTCCTCCCACCTTCGCTCTTGGTGACAGCTCCGGCGTCAACCGCGCCATCTCGTACACAATCATAATGCTGGATACCACTGATAGAAATGCGCGAAAAGTACAATTTCTCCAAACAGCTTTCAAAGCCACGGGTGACAAGACGAAGCTTGCAGCGGAAGGAGAGCCGTTTATCGCATACAAGCCACCATCCTTCGGACAAGGCCCGCGCCAATTCTCGTTCCTTCTCTATCAGCAGCGGGGACAGGATCTAACGCAATTAAGTGGTGTTCCCAGCAGTGGTACTGGGCCGTTCGACCTTAAGAAGTTTGAAACTGCGAATAATCTCCAGCCGCCACGGGTTGGTATGGCTATTACAATACTTGATGATGGGAATGCTGGTGAGCCCCGAAAAGATCATCCATTATCAACATCCGCACTACCATTCGGACCATTTGCTCCACAAGAAATTTCTTCATCCCCCTTTATTTCTGCATTAATACCTGTTTTGTCTACTGCCTCGTCTCCGAACACAAAGACTGCAGTCGACACAGTGGAAGCGTCGTTCCCCGCATTCCCCTTCACTTCCGGATCGCCTACCACTATACCTACGCCCTTACTTTCGCTGGCAACCTCTGACTCACAGCTGTTGTCAGAACAACCAATAATCACACCAGCCTCCACTGTATCATCTTCCTTCCAATCTGCCTCTCCGTCTGTTTCTCCGGCTGCCTCTTCTTCCGTCTCCGCCTCCACGTCTCCAGCTGCAAGGCAAACGCGGACAAGCATCGTAGTTGTGACGGCAAGCCCTACTAGCACTGCCACAAGCAGTTCTAGTGAACTTCTCGGAGCAGCTAGAGAGGGGGATAGTGACCGTTCTGCTGGTGCTGGCTTGTACGGATCTGCTTACGGAGCCATGTTTCTGGAGATAGCTTTGCTACTTGCACAAGCGGGTCTGTGCATGCTGGTGCTGTAAAGTGACTTGGATTGGTTGCTTTCCAGGAGCCTGCCCTTCGAAAACGATTCACCTCCAAATTTTGGCTTTCCCTTCTAACCATTTGAGAGTTGTCCCCTGATTTCCTTCACTGCGCTATGCGAGGGTATGATATTGATATTTTTATTCCCCAGCTGTATTTTGGAGTAGTTTTTTTTTTCGTGGAACATTTGGAGTTCATTGATTTTTCGCTTGCTTTTCACCCTCCTTCTTCCAGCCATGGTGTCGGCATGTACAGTACTTCTTTATGTTGCATATAATGCATACAGAGCCCTGCCAATTGATGAAGATTTGATTTTTTATATGGACGGCTGGTTTAAAAAGATTGATTGAGCATGCCGCTTCTAAGAAATTTTTAGCGACATCTCAAGGGCGAATCAAACCCTTCTTCCCGTTAGTTAACTAGTTAACTAGTTAACTAGCTGTCAGGATTTCATAAGCACTAAAATCATTATGTAAAACTGCGGGCTGAAGACCGGTACACCAAATAACCAATCATCAGATTCAGTTTGTTGTAAGTTCCTTCTCGCCAAGCGCAAATACGCACACCTTGTATTCCCCCATTGAGCGATCATGGCCAGGAGAAAAGAGCCCGCCTTTGTAGCAGGTAGTGTTTAAAATATATAAATAAATGGCTCAGGTTCAGCTTCGTGGGCAGACTGTGTTAATCCATTCGTGAACCTTTCCTCTCCTCCTCTATAGAGGAATCCCAGGTCCCTTGGATCCCCAGCATCTGCTTCAAACTATCTTACTAAAGAGTTATTGATAATGGCCAACAAGCCCGTCATCGTGATCGTGCCCGGCTCATGTCATAGGGCTGAACACTACCAGCGACTAGTTGATAAGCTCACAAAATACAACTATGAAGCAATCGCCTTGACACCACCATCCCTTGACTCCAACCCTCCCCATGCCAGCTGGGACAAGGACGCCGAAGCGATACGGCGCGTAGTAACGGAGAACATCGATGCTGGAAGGGACGTTGTTGCGGTTGCGCATTCATTTGGTGGCGTTGCGATGAGCGAGGCGGTAAAGGGGCTGGGCAAGCTTGCTCGTGAAAATGACGGGTTGAAAGGGGGTGTCGTGGGACTCGTCTACATGACGGCGTTAGCACTTGTTGAAGGGCAGAGCCAAGCGACCTTGATCGTACCGCAGACGCCAGAGGAGAATGAGTTATTCCTAGCATATCAAGAGGGGATGAAGAAATATTCCAAAGGCATGATGCCGGTAAATGAGGTATGTAAAGAACTTGAATATATCACCCATGATTTTGACCTACGCTCTTCCTTCTCCCCTCTATGTACTGCTAGTTGGCACGGGCAAATGAGTCTTAATCTGACCCAGAACTTATTGCCCCATCAGGCCGGGATGATAGTGCCTGACCGGGAGACGACTCGCCAGGTCGTCTATCACGGCTGCGATCCCAACGATGTAGAAGAGGCACTCGACCTGTTAGGAGCCCAGCCAATAGCCCCGATGGCAGCACCAGTTACGTACACGGCATACCGTGAAATTCCGAGTACGTTCATTCTGTGTGAGAATGACCGGGCTGTCCCGCCATACATTCAAGAGAAGATGGTTGCGCAGGCCGGCAATGCCATGGAAATCGTGCGGTGTCAGGAGGGCCATGTGCCGTATCTCAGTAACCCAGGCTTGGTTGTGGATTGTGTCCGCCGTGCTGCGGGTGAGAGTGTTTAGATGGCCGTTGACGTCCTCACGAACTGCTTGCCGACTGCTTATTTCCCCTGTAGCGATACGATTCAATACAGTATATTCATCGTTATAGAGTTTTTATTGCAGGGGACTTTCACCGTCTTGTGCTCGAGATGGCTGGTGTGAGATGAGAAATTCAAAATTAAACTGTATGGCAGCTATCATGATAGAAATGCAGCCCCTACCCACAAGCGATTCAGCCAGTTTCGACAGCGTAGAATACTTGCATTACAAAATCCCTTATATGAGACATGAAGTCAAACAGTGGGTGAAAAAGATGAACTTGAGGAGCAAATGTTTAAATATGCAAAAGGAAAACTCAATATAAAGTAAATGTCTATGGAAATATTAAATCCTAGTTTGCAGTGGGATATGGGCAGGGCAAAAAACTCTCGTCCACTGTCGTCTTTTTGTAACATATGCTCAAATAGTGCTGAAGACACAAGAAACCCCCACCACTCCCAACGCATCTTTAATCTATGTATACATTTTACATACATAATGTTCTCTATCTGTCTCAAGAAGACGTAGATCCTCTTGAGGAACAAAAAACAAACCGAAATCGATCTACTTAGAAATCGACCTTCTCCTTAACATACAAATCAACATATTTATCAACATCCATAGACTCAAGCCCTTTCTGATCAAGACCAAGCTTAATGAGTTGCTCAACCTTGGCAGCGTCATAGTGTCCTTCAAGGTGTCTCTTGTACTTGGCGAGGATTTCAGGCTTCGCCTCCTCGCGGCGCAGGCGGTGGCCGAGAGGGGCATCGACGACGACCTCATCAAGAACGGTACCGTCGTTGAGGGTGACGGTTAGTGCGTTGGGAATTGTACGGAGGCTTGGGTCGTGGTAGTCCTTGGTCATCTGGGGGTCCTCAACGCACTTGATGCGCTTGCGGAGAGACTCAAGGAGCTCAGAGGTAGCTGCTTCGGAGCCGTCGGTGTAATCAGTTGCAAGGAGACGGTTGAAGGTGAGCATGGTAGCAACCATGTACTAATAGGGGAGGTAAATTAGTTTAGTCAATGTTTTAACGAAGATGTTTGAGGATTGGGAGCGTGGTTTAGCACGTACCTGGATGCAGTGGTCGCGATCAGCGAAGTTGTCCATGGGCTTGAATTGTTTGTCGATGATACGGACGCAGGCCTCGTGAGTGCGGATGGTGACATCCTTGATGTCTTTGGCGGATTTACCCATGCTAGCCAACTTCTTGTTGACGTGGGTGGCAGCCTCAATGGCGGTTTGCGAGTGGAATTCAGCTGAATATAGCACGTTAACGGAAGCTATTCATGGAGTGGGATCGTTTTCAGTAGTAAGGGAAAACATACCAGGATAGGAGACCTTGAAGAGCACATTCTCCATCACGTAGCTGCCATAAGGGCGCTGGAACTTGAACTTGTTGCCCTTGAACAGGACATCGTAAAAGCCCCAGACTGGAGCAGAGAGAACGGTGGGTACGCCAGGTTCTCCCTTCTGGACCTTAAGGGCGAGGTTGACCGCGCGCTGGCATGCATCACCAGCAGCCCACGACTTTCTCGACATGGTGTTGGGGGAGTGTCTGTAAGTTCGCAAGCTCTGGCCATCAACCCAGGCCTGGGTGATGGCATCGGCAGTCTGCTTCTCATTCAGACCAAGCAGCTTGGAGACCACTGCAGTGGTAGCAACCTTGACCAAAACCACGTGATCCAGGCCAACCTTGTTGTACGAGTTCTCGAGAGCAAGAACACCCTGGATTTCATGGGCCTTTATCATCGCTTCAAGCACATCACGGACAGTGGGAATCTTGCCATTGCCCAGGGACCCTCCAGCGCGGTTAGTACGTGAGATCCAGTCAGCCACAGCTAGGATGCCGCCCAAGTTGTCAGAAGGATGGCCCCACTCAGCAGCCAACCAGCAATCATTGTAGTCCAACCAGCGGACCATAGCACCGATGTTGAAAGCACCATTGACAGGGTCGAGCTGATATGGAGTTCCAGGCACCTTGGTGCCATTGGGGACAATGGTGCCTTCAACAATGGGGCCCAGGAGTTTCGTGCACTCCTTGAATTTCAAAGCCTCCAACCCACATCCTAGGGTGTCAAGAAAGACAAAGCGGGCAGTATCAAACTAGAAAACAAAAACGTTCTCGCTTCAGTAAACGGTAATTTAGAGAATAATCGAGGAACTAATTTTTCTTGGGCATTTGCATTTTCATACCGCAAGATCTGAATTGATTTTGTAATTATGAATGTAGCTAGCCATATCGTTGATTTCAGGGTCATAATCACGAGCCGCGGCCGGGGTGGCCGAAGCACCAGAGTTGAGGGAGGACATTGTGGAGAAGGAAGATCTAGATTGAAAATGCTTGCTAGAAAAGGATGATCTGGAGGAACGCAAGCGTAAAGACGAGGCTGCTACGGATGAGGTTGCTAGTTGGCGGAGGGGAAGCGATCGTGGGGCGCGAAAAGAGAGCTGTCGCAGGGTTTGACTGGTGACAGACATGGTCGGTAGCAAACGTGGTGTGTGTACTTCTATCTACAACCCTCAGCAACGGAAGCCAGAAGTTTATGTACAAGAAGGAGATGGTAGGGAAGAGGTGGATTGTAATTGATCTCGAATTGCTTACTTTAGAGAGGTGTCTTTGATGTGTCTGGCAACACAGTTCGAGTTCAATAGGTTTTTTTTGTTGAAGTTCGGATTCCAAGGTTGAAAGAGCGGGTCACGTGGGTGTTATTCGGCAGGGTTGCCGAGGATAACACCGAGAACAGACCCGCATCCAACCGGTATGGTATTATTATTTCAGTCTATTGTTATATTTTGCATGTATAGTTGACGAGAAGCACGTATTAAATGGTAACAACACGTATCCCCGAAGTCACGAGTCTCGGCTATGTGTCAACCTGCGAATATTCCGATATCTAATCTGATGAGAAACACCACTAGCAGCTGCAGGATTGCCCGATTCGGTAATTAGCGAACCTCACATTATTTATCTGTGAACGGAAAATACCTCGCTCACTGATAGCGTGGCCATCACAATAGCCGATGGTTTGGATGATCCTTTTGTTACCCTCCACCATGTGTCACTGACTTGCCTCGTTGCTGAACAATAGTGCAAGTACTAGTAACTACTGAAATACAGCATTTCTTCTTTAAATACTGTTCTTCTCTTATGGAAGATGGAAGAAAGTATCCGATTCGGCATCATGTGTCAGACAAAAGCTCTTTGTCCGCTGCACTTTTTTCTTTATTCTTGGACTCTATAAATCTTCGTTGTTTGTCTCCGCAAGAAAACAAAGGAAGCGACAAGATGCACTGGAGCCCTGAACGTGGATATTCATATCTCTGCGTTGCTATTTCTTCAACTCATATATTGTCAGATTTATTATTGATAAAAATATCGACTTAGACCCTTTCCACTTACTGTGATATCCTTAGATCATCAAGAATATGGTTTTTTTTAGTAAGCCGTCGTGGAAGATGCGATTCTCCAGACTGCCTGCTACCATGCCTTCAGACTCTAAAGCACAAGCTTTGCTAATCATAGAGCAGATATATCTCGATATCCACCTTGCCTCTCAGCCAAAGAATGAAAATTCAACAGATTGTAGCTCAGCGACCCCTAACATCTTCATGGACACAGCAGAGCGCATCCTCAAATCCGTTAGCGAAGCAATGATGCGGCAAGAAGATCCATGCAGCATGCAGCTGCAACGCCTTATAGATCTAGGCAAATCACTAGGCTGGATGATGCTATCTATCTGCAGCCACTCAACGCACTTCGTCGATGCTGCCAACGATAACGATAAGCTCTGGCAGGAACTTTACACTCTAATCGGCTCAAACGCCATCAGCATCGAACTTTTTGCGAAAACCCGCCGCCTGAGCTGGCATCCCATCCTCCCCCGCGCGCTCCGACCAGGTGAAGGGGGAAAATTAACAGTCAATTCATGGGAACCGTACTACCCCTACGTCATCAAACTAGATGCATGCGCCATCTACCACCCCAAATACTACGGTCTGAAACAGCAAAACATCACCAAATCAGTCTACATGATTACAGAGCGCTTCGATCCTTCCCAGAACCTCCGTCGCCAACCTAGCGATGGCAACTGCGCTATGTGCGGAAGCCCACAGCTATGCGCATGCAATATACAGCTAGCAGATGAAACAAATCCACTCCTCGAGCTGCGCGAGTACCCAGACCGCGGCGTCGGTGTCCGTAGCCTCCGCTCCATCAAAGCAGGTACGTACATAGGCCAGTATGTCGGCGAAATCCGCGAGCCGGCAGCTCGTAAAGGTACTACATATGCACTCCATCATACCCTGCGTGACCGGTCAATTGGCGTCATCGATGCAGCCATTTATGGGAATTGGACTAGGTACATGAACCACTCGTGTCGGGCAGGGGTGATTTTCGTCTCAGCGGTAGTGGGTAATTCTGCGTGTGTGCTTGTGAGGGCTATCAGGGATATTGAGATATTTGAGGAGATTACGGTGGATTATGGGGCTGCTTATTTTGCGCCTCGGGGCAGAGTGTGTAAATGTGGGGAGGAAGGTTGCCGGTATAAAGAGGAGGCGGAAGTTGGAGCGAGGGAGAGGGTGAAAGAAGACTTGAAAGGAGAAGATGTGAGAAGGTGTGTTCCGCTGTATAAGTCACTATCGTCTGCTCAACAACACTTCCTTTAGGAGAAGGAAATGCGTGTGTGGCAGCTTTATGTACTGCACTAGTTGCTAGGAGCTACGTGAACCTAGATACCACCCCAATTCGAAAAATTTCCTACGACTCAGAAAGGCGGGAAGGAGGACATGTTAGAGATAAAAGTAGAAACACATTCTGTAAAGCAGCATAGAATTTCTTATTTTTGTTGAGAAAAAAAATTGAATTAAACTACACAAGCAAGTTATACAGAACTAGGGATATCACAATCGTAGATGAGAAAGAAATATCACTGAAAATAGCACACATTACAACAAAATAAATTCGATGTTCAGCACCTGGAGAATCAAATATGGAAAGGAAAAGACAAACAAAGAAGGAAGATCTGAACATAAATAGCAGATGCGAAAAGAAATTTAGCCCAGACATTGAAATACTAACGGTGACAAAATTAGTTAGATCTGAGGTGCAAAGCCAAAGCCCCCCTCCCCTCCCTTAAAAAAAAAAAAAAAAAAAAAAAAAAAAAAAAAAAAAAAGCCGAACATAGCACAAAGGATCAAGCAATTGCCGTGTTTCTTACCCACGTGCACGGCATCAGATTGGGCATCTTGGGGCGTGCCGATGCCACCCTCCACCACTGCAAATAAAGTCATCGGAAGCATCACTGCAGACGTCGATATCCCCATATACTTGCTCATCTCCCAAACAAACGTAATCTTCGGTGACTAGTGTGGGGCAGTCCAGTTGGATGCAGAGATTGTAAGGAAATGAGAGCGAACCTCTTCGTCCTTCACATACCACCACCACATATCAATCAAACCACTTTATTCCTTCACACAACGAAACAGACACGAGTTGATCGATCGATCACAGTATTTCCACCACCTCCGCTACAACGTCGATACTACCATCACCACTACCGCAGGTACCACCATTAATCCCATCAACGCGCTCCAGCGCCCTCTTCACCACCAAAAAGATCGCCTTCCCCAGCATCGGCGGCACTGCATTCCCAATCTGCCTTTTGACACTCTTCCCACAAAACCGATGCTCGAGCGGGAACGTCTGCAGGCATGCAAGCTCGCGGTAGGTGAAGCCGCGTGTGCCGCTTGGGTGGTAATTCTCGCCCCCGTTGCAGGTTATCGTCCTCGCTTGGGTGTGTGGGTCATAGGTTGGCCGGTTCAGTGGACGGCTGCGAGCATATTGGATGTCGTGGTCTGGGTGATGAGGGGGGATTTTAGAGATTGCGTCGTGGATGGTGCGGAAAGGGGGAAGGAGAGCAGTGGTGATGGTGGTGTTTACTTGGGTGTTGGGAGAGGCGTGCGTTGGCTTTGGGAAGGGCGGTAGGGGTTCACCGGGTCTACAATATAGTTGGAGGTGAGTAGGATGTAAGTTACATATGCATATAAAATGACTTGAGGGGAGGAGGTGGGGGGAGTGATAGCATACCCCGACGCCAAAATAACCAACCGCTGACGGCTCTGGGGCACTCCATAGTCCCGACAATTTAGTAACTTCCAACGGACAGAGTACCCCAGTTCCACAAAGGAATGTATTGTTGCGAAGAGGAATTCTTCATGCCTCTGTTGCAAACCTGCTGTTTCCTCCATAGTCACAACCCTGGGCTTCGTCGCCTCCAGTAATCCGCGCGTACAGAAGATGCATGCTTCATTATCATCATCCATGGCAGCTGCAACTGTTTTTGCAGGTGAAAAGGTCTGGCAAGGAGGGGAAAAATGCAAAATATCAACCATTATTTCAGTGTGGCTGTTAGCAAGGAAATCTGCTACATCGGATGTATATCCAATTGCAGTCTCAAAATTCAGTCGAAATGAGTCCATGGCTGATACTGAGTGATCAAATCCCCAATTCAGGCGAAGGCCTGCTTGCAATGCACCTCTGGATACCCCACCCGCACCACAAAAGCCATCCCCAAATGTATACTGCCGGATTATTTTTGAAGTCCCGCCTAGAATTGTTGGAGTGTTTGTCGAAAGATCGACGAGCGGTGAAATTTTTTGAGTGGCATAGCTACCCCCTGGTTGAGTTTCACCTCTCCAACGGAATCGTAGCGTGCTAGTGTCAACAGCATAGCCAGCGTCTGCCTCATGTGGAGCGAGGAATTGGATGGCTTGCTCTTCCATGCGTCGTTTGCGGGAAGATGTCGTGGAAGTGGAAGTAGGAGTGACCCACACCCTAATGTATTTGGAGCGGCAGAACAGAATCCCCTCTTGCCTGCGTTCAGCCTCTGTCGCAAAACTGTCTTTATCACCCCGAGGAACTAACATCGGATAAGGTGTATTTGTAAAACGCACGATCCTCAAGCCCTTGACTTCGTGCAAGCCCACCTCATCAAACTGAGTGGTCTGCTGCGCGGAAAGGTTCACAATCCAGCACAACTCATTGATCTGCTCAGGCATTAGCCCATTCATGGAATCTTGTCGCTGAAGCCGCCAGCCCCTCAGCGATATCTCCCCGCCCACCCCCCTCACAATCTCCAAGATGCGGAGAAAGGTGCCATCCCGCAGCTCCACGGATTTGCCAGTTTTATATGTTCTACCCTCAGACACGAATTCTGGGATGACTTCTTTCACTTCAAAAGATTCAGTATGGTTGAGGCAGGGGGTGATGTTAGCTGTGAAATTGGAGAGGATCTGCGGCCATTGCTCGTTGTCCACGAAGTCATCCTCGCTATATCTTGCGGTGAAATCTCTCCCCCCGCCCTCCCACCCATCTTCCTCCTCATCCTCAAGGGTGTCAGTGCTGTCACTCTCATCTAGTACGATGGGAGATGGGCGGCTAGGTTGGGAATGGTCTTGGTCATGGAGCTGCAGACAACGTCGACGGCGGGACTTTGGGGGTAGAGTAGAGAGGAGACAGGGCTCGCGGCCTGGGAGTATTCGAACCATCTTTTGGGTGAGGGATTGCAAAAGAACTCTTTTAGTGAGAGAGAGGGGTTTTCAAGAAGGTGTTGGAGCATTCAGTATTGAGATTTCGAAAGCTGGTGCTGGCTATGCTTAGAACAGAAAAGTTCAGAGTAAACCTCCTCTGGGATAAAGTATGGGCAAACAGGATGTTATCAATCTTCAAAATATCAGAAGAGAGAATGAAAGGAGACCAGGAAGGTATTCTCTAGCACCACAAGTGATCCACTCGATAGGTGGCAATTTTCAGATATTCCATAGATCATAAATTGTGTTGTGTTGTATGATCTTCTTGACTGCTGAAAGTGTTCTGGGCATAAAGAATTGAGCTCAGAAATCCGGACATTCCAACAACAATGAGTTGGTCATCTGGACATTTTCTGCTCAGATATTCACTCTCAAAAATACAACTCATGATTGCCAATTTGCAGATGTAGATAGATGCCTTTCATCCCCGTTCAGATAGATAGAGATGAAGAGGGCTCCCGCACAGCTCTCACTGGCTTTGTTTCAAACAAGTTGAAATGTCATCTCTGACCCAATGACTACAGGAGGAGGATATAAACAAGAAGATAAGTTCTTTTCTCTAGCATAGAAAAGAATAGAGAAAGCCCTGGCAAAAAGCAGCTCCATGTCACAACTGACAAAGAGGACTAGTAGTTTGCGAGACAAGAATACTACCGGAGAACAATGAAAAATCCCCTGATACAGAGATGGCAACTAGAATATACACTCATGCCATATACGCAGACATGAGAATTGTTTTGTCTTGATTGTTTGCTTGCTCTATCTCAATATTTCCTGAACAAAAAGGGCAATATAGGGTTGCTGACATACACTCTAAGGCCAGAGTGGGCTTGGCGCCAATATTGCGGCTTCGAAAAAAAAAAAGAAAAAAAAGAAAAGAAAAAAGAAAAAACAAAAAAAAGCACAGTTGTAACTAAAATATCCCACAGATGTAAATATCCCCTACTTTGGATATTTGTTTATTTCTATTTGATATTTGAAAACGTGTTTGCTCAGATGAGGGGAATGCACACGTTGTCTACATTTCCAGTGTCAATGCATCGCATCGCATCGCATCGCATCGCGTCGCATCGCACGAGCACTCTGTAGATTCAGCATTAACTTTAGAAGCAAAACACATCATGAACCCCCAAATGGTTTCAAAGTGGTTGGCGATCCATGGCGCGGGCGGTGGGGAAAAAGATAGATAGCCTTTGATAATACCAGTGCCGCTGCAAATCTTATTTTTCTCCGGTGTCCTCTCTGTCTTTTTCCCGCTTCTTCTTTTCCTCTTTTCTTCTCGCTTCGATAATCACCATGTCTGCTGCTATTCTTCCTCCTGTCTCCGCCGTTTTTTCTCCGCTATCTCCTTCATTTCTGCTCTCGTCTCCATTATGTTGTAGTCTCGTTGCATCCCTCTGGGCCTCCATTTTCGCCGCCGCGGCCCCCGTAAACCCACCATGAACAGCCGTATCTTGGTTTTTTAAGCTGTTTAGACCACCTCATTTTTATTCGACAATTCATTTCCCCGCTTACTTTTGCTCCAAAATATTTCCATATCTGGCGGTGGCTATCTAATTCCTTACCACTATTAGAGAATCCGGCGAGAAAAAGTATGTTTGATAGTGTCTTTTGCTCACCTGTTGCTGCATGCCCCTCTGTAGTACATGCCCATCCCGAAGCACAATAACTGCCAATCCCTACCGATGATGATACGTTGGAAAAATTACATGGATGTTAGACTTCCTAACTCTTATTGCGGAGAACTCCAATCTATTCTGATCCTTATCTTCATTGTGTTTCGCACATTACTCCCTCCCCTTTCCGTTTTTTTTCTTCCTTATCAATATCTTGCTTTCCCCTGTTCAGTATTTAACTTGGAGAATATTGCTCATAAGAAGTTTTTACAACATATCTAGTTTCCTATAATCTACGCCTGGCATGTGCGGCATATTAGCTCTCATCCTTGCGGATCCCAAGGCCAGTGCCAGCATTGATCTCCATGAGGCACTGTACCTTCTGCAACACCGTGGCCAAGATGCCTGCGGAATTTCAACATGTGCATCTGGCGGTCGCATATTCCAGTGCAAGGGAAATGGCATGGCCGCAAAAGTGTTCAATGATGGAGCCAGGGTTGCTGACCTTCCCGGGTTCATGGGCATTGCACATCTAAGATACCCCACGGCTGGCAGCAGTGCCAATGCCGAAGCACAACCATTTTACGTGAACAGCCCTTACGGCATCACCTTGGCCCACAACGGCAACCTCATCAACGCCAGCGACCTCAAGAGCTTCCTCGACTACGACGCCCACCGCCACATCAACACGGATAGCGACAGCGAGCTGATGCTTAATGTCTTCGCCAACGAACTGAACGAGACGAAGAAAGCCCGTGTCAACCACCAAGACGTCTTCACAAGTCTAAGCCGTATGTATGAGCGTTGCCAGGGCGGCTGGGCCTGTACCTCCATGATAGCCGGCTTCGGCGTCCTGGGTTTCCGCGACGCATATGGTATCCGTCCCTTGGTTCTTGGCTCCCGCCCATCCGCCACCGGAGAAGGGATGGATTACATGATGGCATCTGAATCCGTCGCACTGGACCAGCTAGGCTTCTCCACACTACAGGACATCCAGCCGGGCGAGGCCGTCATAATCCAAAAGGGAGGCAAACCAGTTTTCCGCCAAGTCTACCCGAAGCTTAATTATACCCCGGACATCTTCGAATATGTCTACTTCGCGCGGCCGGACTCCGTCATCGACGGCATCAGCGTGTACCGCAGCCGACAGCGTATGGGCGACAAACTTGCGCAGACAATCTACAAAACCCTGGGCGCCAAAGCCATCGAGGAAATCGACGTTGTTATCCCCATCCCCGAAACCTCAAACACATCAGCGGCCAGCGTCGCGCGCTTCCTCGACAAGCCGTATTGCCAGGGTTTTGTCAAGAACCGCTATGTGTTCCGCACGTTCATCATGCCGGAGCAAAAGGCCCGGCAAAAGGGTGTGCGGCGGAAACTGAACGCCATGGCCGCGGAGTTCAAAGGCCGCAATGTCCTCCTGGTCGACGATAGCATCGTGCGCGGCACGACGAGTCGAGAAATCGTCACCATGGCCCGCGAGGCGGGTGCGAAGACGGTGCATTTCGCCAGTTGTGCGCCGCCGATAACGTAAGCTTCACTCATTCCCCTCACCTCTCTATATTCTATGGATGTGCTCTTTTGGAAGATTGACCTCCCCCCTCTCCACGCCCGCGCTAACAAACCGCAACACGCAGTCACGCGCACATCTACGGCATCGACCTCGCGTCCCCCAGCGAACTCGTCGCGCACAACCGCGACGCAGAATCCATAGCCCGCCACATCGGCGCGGACACCGTTATTTTCCAAACGCTCTCGGACCTCAGAGAAGCGTGCGTCGAAAGCTCGCAGAACGACCCGACCAAGCCGCAGAACTTCGAAGTCGGCGTCTTCTGCGGCTCGTACATCACGCCCGTTCCGCCCGGGTATTTCGAGCACCTAGAGAAGGTGCGCGGGGAGGGGAGGAAGTTGAAGGTGGTGGAGAGCGCGAAGAAGGCGGTTTTACAGGGCGTGGCGAGCTCGACGGATATTCAGGTCGCGGTTAACGGGGCGGATGTGGATGCATCGGGGAAGATTGTGCCTGCGGGCATGAAAAATCGCGTTGCGGGTGTGAATGGAGTGGATTGTGCTGTTGCTGCTGGTAGTGATGGTGGTGGTGGTGGGCATATTTCTCTGGAGGATGGGCGGTCTGAACAACTGAATGCTCATGATGAGGCAGACAATCATACACCTCAGGTTAAGGACCGGATGGACATTGCGTTACATAATTTTGGTGATTATTCGTAGCGCGGCTGCTTGTATGAGCGCATTCCTCATTTTTGTTCTTTTCATGCTTTATCACGGTTGATTCATGATTGTTTTTCCTCTGCCCCACTTGATGTGGTCCTTTTCATTTTCTACTGCTATGTATATCATTTCATACCGGAACCTACCCTAGCTTTTCCTCTTTCCCAGTCCAAATATAACATCTGATTGGATCCTGCTGACGGTGGATTTAAAATAGATAGATATGATTTTTATCTGCAAAGTACAGCTGGAGTTTTCCATACATCTTCTCTCTTGATAGATTCTCATTTCCGTCCAGGTAGATCCCCGCCATCCCAAACATTCAAACTAGTTGCTTCATAAGATCCTCATATATACATAGATGAGGAGACTGGTTTATTTTGATTACATTACATTCTTTCCCATTCATCTTCCCCCTTCATTTGATGGGTCACTAAAGCTTTCTCTGATTTTTGGAAAATGTATACTTTCAGAACTTGCCGCTTTCCTCTATCTCTAAGCAAATTGAAATTGTAATTGTAGGTGCTATTTATGTCTACTAGTATGACTCCTTTATCTGAGGTGATATCTATTCACAAAACAGATCTAATACTCCGCCATGGTTATTATCCTTGTCTCTAACTATACATAATGAGCATTCTAAGGTAATATGATATGTATTGACAGGTTTATATGTTTTTGTGTGTTCTGAGTTGTTTAATTTATATATATGTCCATTGGTGTCAAAGGGACATGCTCAACACATTGTCTGGACTCACATCACACAATCGAATGGAGATGAGGGATAACAACCTACCCATTTTATCTTGATAGTTTGTGCTACTGCTGCCTTAGTTCCCTCGCATTGCTGATGCCTATGATTGCATGCATAATAGCAAACCTCTTATCCACAATTGCAGCTGAAAGTGTGTGGCTTAGAATTGGTCATACCTGTCTCCTCGAGAGGTTTTGCAATGTGAGTCTTTGAAACCAGACAAAGACAAAGGCACTCATGCATTGGAGCTCTCTTATAATCAGCTTCATCGCATGGCTATATGCTTTGCTGGGTGGATCCGTAAAAGACAGATAGATAGCCATCATAAATTCCAACCGCCACTCTTCCCAACAGTCGGCATGCATCGCCTCTCCCATCTACCATCCATCTTACGACCAATTTCACCTGATTCCGGTCTAGCCACGTAAGAAAAGAACACCACGGTGCAAAATCCCCTGAAGACAGAACTTATCAATATCTAGCGGTAGAAGATACTTGGGAACACAATTTCCACAGTGGCGGGCAGAACGAGTGTTGATGCTTTGTACTGTCCCTATTCTTCTATAAATATGTTAAAAAAAGAAAGAAAGATAGCAGAGGAACATAACAGCCCAGCTCCCTTGATATTGCATCTGGCTCATCCATTACTTTCCGTTTACGACTGGCGAATGAGGAGGTTAGCATATAATAAGGGGAAGTGGTTTGTAATTATGCCTTTAATGTTTTCATCCTTCAAACAGCCTTTGAATTTCACTGTGTTAAAAGATACCATAAAGGCATCACCCCTCACATCTAGATAAACGTTCTTTCAGTATTGAACGGTGAAGTTGCATTGGAATAAAAATAGAAAACATTTCTAATTCGAAGCATAAAATCTATACATCTCGCGTGGGTCCTAGGTTTTGATAAACATAGTCCCCAATCAAGTCACGCAACCGATCCCAGATACACACTCCCATTTTGTGCCAGCTTTGATTATATTTGACATGTTACAGATATAGAACAAATATTTCAGGGGTGACAAAGGGAAAACGGAGAAAAAAGTAGACGAAATGAGAAGGGGGTGGGTTCTGTGGTTTACAGGAAGGAGAGGTCGCCGAATCGTTCCTAGAATTGTGATAGATCACCACACGTTAGTAGGTCGTTCCGTGTGCAGAGCACCGTCCACGTCATAACTCGCAGCAGGAAGCCGAGCCTTGGCTCTTTATTCTTTCATGCCGGAATGAGATTGAAAAACGAACCTTGTAGCCGGGCGGCATCCATTTGCCCTTGGAGACCAATTGGGAAGTTTTCTCGAGGATATCCGGTCGAGCCTCGCTAACCTCGTCCTACGAGAGTGAAAAGAAGAAAGAAATCATCAGTAAAAAAAACATATACATCAACACAAACATCCCAGGGGCGCAAAACATACGACCGTAAGATCCTCAAACGGCCTTGCCGTCTCAATATTCGCCAGCGTCTTCTCAAGACTCTGCAACTCAAGCTCAACTTTGCCCTTCGTCTCCTCCGCGCCCTTCATAGCTTGTGCCTCGAAGGCCTCGATCGCCTTGAGCTGTCTATTCACATCGAAAGTGGCGGGCTTGAACGACTTGAAGTGCTGCTCGATCTCGTCGACGACGGCCTGGTTCTTCAGCACGCTGCGGTAGTGTTCGAAGTCGATAGACTGCGGTTGCTCGGAAAGCACTTGCACCTTGCGGCGGGCGTCATCGTTGCGCTTCTTGAAGGCAGCGAGGGAGGCGGCGGTCTGGCCCCGGAGGCCGAGTGAAGTGGACACTTTCGTCCAGTCAAGCTTGAGAGCTGCGCTCCGCTGTTGGTTGCGTGGTTTGTTCACGATTGGACACACAGCGTCAGTTCCATCGGTTGCGGTCCCGGTAGAGTGGGGATGGGGAGAGACGGAATTATCTAGGTGGATTCGAGGAATTGAGCAGATTTGGAGACGGGTAAACTTACTGTTACAGCCATTGTGGTTGTTGGGGTGGAATTCGGACGGTGGGATGCGTGGTGTTCGCTGTTCAAGAGCCGGAATTTGAGGGGGATGAAGTTGTCGTTGACGAGAACTTGGGCGAAATGTAAGGTCACGTGACTTATGGATTCACTGGCTTGGCAATGGATAGAAACAATAATAAGTATTATAAAGTGGTATTGGAATATACTGCTCTGGGAATTCCATTGTTTCATGATAATAAGGATTTCCTTTCGAGTCTCATCCTGCAGTTATTTACCAAGGACAACAGGGGAATAAAAGGAAAAAAAAATAAGTTATCACGCTTTGAACAGGGCCGGGCTTTGTGTTTGGTATTGTAATTTTTTCTTTTTCATTTTTCTTTGGCTAAAAATTCAAAAATTAGAGGGAGAAAGAGGAGAATCGAGACAACAATAAATCATCCATCTACATGCTCAGATCATCAGATCATACACTTAGAGCCATGATGGAGTTGACAATATCATTATCGTTCTCCTTGAGCGCCTTGATAGCCTTGTTCCGCGACACAGAAGCCTGAGCCATAACTAATTCAATGTCTTTAGCCTCGAGTCCGCTAGCATCAAACCTCCTCATCATCCTCTTCTTCGTCCTTCTTGTCGGCGCTCTCGACGGCCTTCCCCTTGCCGTGGTCGTGACTGGCGTGGTCGTGGCCGGCATGTTCGTTGCTACCAGCGGCCTCGGCAGCAGCAAGCTGTTGAGCAGCGGAGGCTTGGGCCTGGGAGTTCAAGTCCTCAATCTTGGCCTCACCGAAGATGCTATTCAATCGGGTTAGTCGGATTTGTTTTAACATATTTACACAGGGGACAACTGATACAACTGATGTGGAAAGTGCGGGTTAAAGTAAGGGGAAAAAAAAGCCCCCATTAAACTTACATCCAAGTGTTGCTGGACGGGGACCGGTATACGTCTGGTTGATTGATAACGAAGAGAATCTAGCATTGCCGTAATAATTAGTATGTAATTAACGCATAAGAGATTTGCATGCACAATTTCAATTGACGCGGCATCGTTTGCAGCCGTAGTGGGCTCTGACGCAAAGTTGCCAGGGACTCCAAGCCACTTACACCCTTCGGTCTGCGGAGAGTAACACGAGTGATGCCAGGGACGTGCTTCAAGCCCAACTTGCCGATGGCTTTCCGAGCCTTCTTTTCATTGCGGGAGTGGACAGTGACAGCGGCACCACCGGGAATGGTAGGCTCCTCGGCACCCTCAACTTCGGACTCTGAACTGTCAGCGGCATCCTCGACTGTGGTCTTGGGGACATCATCGTCGGGAAGCTCTTCTATCCGAGAGGAAGACATGTTTGGTTTTGAGGGGGGAGGGCGGGAGCCTGCTATCAATCAATGACGGATGTTCTTGTTAGAAAGTTTTGTGCAATAATTTGTTTTTACATGTGCGAGCAAGAGTGAGAGAGAGAGACCATTCCCACTCAACGGTCCATAATTTTGTATTCAAACGGCGGGGAATGATTTCGCCGCGGGCTAGGGGATATACCGGCACATACCTTGGTGATAGACGGGAGACGGGGTTGAGCGTGGGGAATTTTTCCTTGCAGCGTTTGCCAGAGTTCTTGTCCAGTTTGATGGTGGAAACTGTGTGAGGCTCCTAACCACCTGACCTGGGCGCCTTGCCAAATCTGTTAGCGAGTGACACTCCACTGTAACAACTTGAAGGTAACTGCCGCAATCACATTACAAACAGCAGGTCTACAGGGCAGGATTCTGACGCTGAAGTCAGAATAGGATGATTTTTATATACAAATAAAAATTGCTTTCCTTAACCATTATCTTAGGCGCACCCCGATCCACACACGAACGGTGCCAGGACAGTTGCCAGTTCTGATTGAACGCGCAACTCAGTACAGAGTGCTAAATACGTTAGGAAAAATGCCTATTGACTGTGCTTCGCTCCAGAAAGTGTAAAGATTTGTGGATTGAGGGCAGGACCATCCCGAGACAAAATGAAACCAGAAAGACGCTCATTTGGATTGCACGTCAAGATACTGCCTGCAGGAACACGATTGGAAACGAGAACTAGTCGGACTGATGGGTTCATTCATAACGGTCTCATTTTCCAAAGCATCATGGCAGGAGGTCGAAAGGGGAAATAAAGAAAGGAGGGATTAAAAAATAAACCTCAATTGCACCAGATTATAGAATGTTGTAACATGAGAGAACATGAAAAGAAAAAAAAAAAAAGAGAGAAATTATATTGAATGGTTTCGCCGTTTCAAATTCTTATGAAATTGTTTACACAGCAGTTTTTTCGGGAACAAAATGGAATTCCAGCGATCCCTTCGACCCATCGCCAAAAATCCATCCATTGCCCCCTTTCCCCCAAACCCCGGAAACCGACCAACACTCGTTAACTCCGTTTACGAAGCAGAAGCGCGGATCTTAGCATGCGCCTTTTGCACTTCATAGCGGGCCTGGACATAATCAACGCAAGCGCAATTGATTAGCAAAAACATCATACAGTCCAATAGAATGTGTTTGAGTGGCGGGATGTTGTAGATGTCACAAATGACACGACAGAGCGTATAGCCTCATCAAAAAGTATGTAGGACAATTTCCCCCAAAACTCAAGTTGAAACTCACCTGTTTCTTCAGTCTCATAACCTTGAACCGTTCGAAGTCGGTAAGGTTTCGTCTCCGATCAGCCTGGTCCCTCTTCTTGGCGGACGTGCTGTTGGCCCATTTTGAATCGATCTCCGCCTTCTCCCAGAGCTTCTTGACTGGTCCGGTACCAGCCGCGCGAGGGAGTTTCGGGATGGTGAAAGGTGTGAGGGTGGCGTATGAGAGAGCGAGGACATGGCGAGGAACGACTTTGTTCTCTTGACCGGCGGGACCGTCGACCAAGACCTGTAAAAACGACACAATACCCATCAGAACTCCGCAACCGCGATGTAGTATAGAAAAAATTTAGAACTATTTTCTTTTTCATCTATCATTCGCTCCTCCCCTGCAGATCCCAGCCAACCTCTAAATAGAAGA